CTAGGCAATCTGAAATGACACAGTTCCCTTGTCTCTTCCTCCAGGTGAGGTTATGTGTAGTAACAGGTAATAAACATATACACCCCAAAATAACATAATGTCGGATACAACAACTGTGCAACAATGACAGCAATACTGTAACAAATACAAAAGGGAAAAAGTAACCCAACTTGAGCTTCACTGAAAAAAACGTAAAGGTGGCGAAGTGAGGGGAGGGTCTAGGGTTGTCATGATGACAAAGGCATAAACTCTACCAGTTGTAGTTCGGGGGCGGTTATGGAGTGGTATACAGGTTATGAGGGATTTGGCTGAAGGTAGAGGGGGCCAGGGGAGGAGGGTTGGTTAAGGAGGGTAGGGGGGGGTTCCTGGCTGGTCGCTTACTTTCGTTTGCTCTTGGTGTCAGTGGTCTGGAACACGCTGGAGGCAGACATGAGGTTCTCGATATACTGACCCAGAACCTGGTTCTCAGACTTCAACTTCAGGTTCTCCTCCTTCACTGCATCCACACGCGATGACAGGTCTGACAATGACAACAATGATTTTCAAGGAACTGCATTAACTGTAACATTATTTACTGATGCTTTTGCCTGTCTGTCTGCACATATCCAGCTGTCTCACCTTCTAGAGTGTGCTGAAGCTCCAACACCTGGTTTATAAGCCTTGTCTTTTCTTCCAGCTCAGCCTGATTCTCCATGTCACCTACAACACACACACAGTGAATTTATTTACAAACATGTCCACAGCAATCACATGCTGCTGGCATTTCACATTTCCCAGAAGTGTGTCTCTTACCGTCCCCATCGGAGCTCATGGCGAAGTACACGTCTTCCTTTTTGGAATGCAGGGCTGCGACTTACAGGGGCACTGGAAGTGGACAACAATAAATGTGAAGGAAGGCAAGGGTCAATGGCCCCATGACTGACGTGTTCAACTCTATTATGTAGTTCAGAAAAGTCGAGGTTTGTGACAACATGGCGCCTACATGTGTGGATTGATTAATAACCGTTTTAGGATTGATTGACTTGCTGTAAATAATTAAATACAATCAACGGTCTCTACAGGTAGGCCTACATTTGATGGCACTGTTCCCACTGCTCCATTCAATTCGCCATCCAAGTGGTACACTTCCACTTGTGATTAAGTTAGTTGTTGGCAACATTTCAACATTTCCTTTCAGTTACTTTAAAGGGGCAATCTTGGGATTGCTACATCCATTTTTGGACTTTTAATTATGTAAAATTAATGATATAGCTATACCCTTTAATTCTTGGATGGTCAGTCCTTGCATTACATTTCCATTTGAGTAATTTAGCAGATGCTCTTTTCCAGAGTGACTTACTGTAGTGAGTGCATACATTTATACTTTTTTCGTACAGTGGCGCACTCCCGAGTGGCGCAGTGGTCTAAGGCACTGCATCGCAGTGCTAGCTGTGCCACTAGAGATCCTGGTTCGAATCCAGGCTCTGTCGTAGCCGGCCACGACCGGGAGACCCATGGGGCGGCGCACAATTGGCCCAGTGTCGTCCAGGGTAGGGGAGGGAATGGCCGGCAGGGATGTAGCTCAGTTGGTAGAGCATGGCGTTTGCAACGCCAGGGTTGTGGGTTCGATTCCCACGGGGGGCCAGTATGAAAAATTGTATGCACTAACTGTAAGTCGCTCTGGATAAGAGCGTCTGCTAAATGACTAAAATGTAAATGTAAAATGTACAGGTCCCTGTGGGAATCAAACCCACAACCCTGGTGTTGCAAGGGCCATGCTCTACCAAATGTGCCAAGGATCTCATGGATGGTCAGTCCTTGCACAGCTCCGTCTCTGAATATGAGAGTGGTTACATCTCTCCAACCCCATCCCTCAGCTGTTTACCAAAACAGTGGCGGGGTTTTCGTTTTGTTGTTGTTTGAAATGCAGATTTCCCATTTAATGTCTTTACATAATATACACGTGCTGGCTGCAAGACTATTACCCTATTATTACCCTAACCCTAGCTTTGAGCAGAGAGATAACGAGATAGCTAGGTAGCTACTGGCTAAATTACCTAGCTAGTTACCATGCTAGCTAACGTTAGCTAAAGAATGGCATTTTGTCTGCCCGTAGTCACAATAAGCAAATCTAGAAACACTTGTCCACCCAAATGTATGTTATGCTACCGGTAATGTTATGAATCATGTTCTTCTACCGGCGTCCAGGCTTAGCACCAAAGTTAGCCACGTTAGCAGGCTAGTTAGCCGGTTAGCTAATCTTGCTAGCTACGCCGACAGAGGCCAGCTGGCGAAACAATAACAAACCCTGACAGACCTCTCTTATTTGCTACCCAGAACAATACTTTCTACAAAACCATTAAAACAGCACAAATCGACATTGACAGAAAATATGTAACTTACTTACCCTCAAAGACCAAGAAAATTATTGAATGTTGTGCTGAAATGGAAAATGACAGGAAAAATACAACAATCCTGCCAGCAGCTGCTCAATATATCTAGCGCCTCATTCGTGTGATGTGTCACGTGTGTCCGCTAGGGGGGGGGGGGGGGGGGGGGGGGTCCTCGTCGTCGTCTTCTTCGATGAGGTTTAACGGCGGTTGGCATCCAATAAATGTTGCATTACCGCCACCTACTAGACTGGAGTATAACTCCCTTATACTTTGCTTTAAAAAAAAAAAAAAAATCCAACAAATACCCTACCATCTAACACTACACTCACAAAAATAAAATAAGAAGAAGAAGAATTATTACCATACTCCACTATTTAAATCTATTCATTCCTACTTCAGGCCAACAGCCTGAAAGGATGGGACACCACCACATAACACACCCTGTAACTCTTCTGATGTCAAGTCTCGCACACCCAAATACCTCTCTGCAGCTGCCACCACAACCTATATTTTCTGCGACTTACGTTGCATCCCTGCAGTACAGTTGATAACCATTGCTATAAATGCCAAAAATCCAATCTTACTGAAACATATATAACTTGTTGATTTATCCCTCTGTACTGGTACATATCTACTATTCACACCATTCCTCTCAGGATCCCTCCCCCTTGACCCATCTTCCTCTACTTTCTTCACTGCCTCAGCATAAGACAACTTCTGCACTACTCTAACCCTGGAAACCTCAACCTGCCTCTCACACCGGACATTTCGGATCCCCAGCCCCATGGGCACCCCTACAATTAACACATACCACTACTTTCCCCAATGCTACACATTCCTTTGTCTCATGCCTTTCTGCACACCGAGGAACCTCCCTCCTACATACTGCTGTCACATGCCCATAAGCTTGACACTTGTAACAACGTAATGTATTCGGCACAAAAGCTGGTACCGGAAAGCTTATATATCTATTGGGGATTTATTATTCTCCTAAACTGATGGGATGACTAACTTAGAAAGAATGCATTCTTGACTGGGCTAATGTAGGCTGTGACACCTGGCAAGGCTGTGATTGATGTGAAGAGCTGTTTTAGGGGTTAAAATAAGATAAGGATTGTGTCTTCAAATGCTAGACTATAATAGTTATTTGTGACCTGTGAGCCTTCCTCTGACGTAGGAATGATGTCTAAGGGAGCTGGCTCTTCTCACTATGATAGGTTGTTATGATAATCTTGTGCCTGGCTGAAGTGTGTAACAAATGGCGCCGAAGAGATGAGACCAACCTCTGAATCAATGGATTGGCTGAGTAAGTTTAAACCACACTCAGTCCTTTACTCTAATTGGCCAGCAGAGAAGTGGGAAACTCCCTCTGTCAGAGTATTTGGGTATTGTTTCTGGAACAATGAGTTAGTTCTCTGGAGTGTCCTGCGAGACATCTCAGAGAGTCCGTATATACGAAACATCATATTTACCATTGAAGGTTTTTGCATTAATTAAAATAACTAGTATACCTTAGAAGTCGTGTTGACCTCTTTTGTTCCTAATACCAGATTTGAATTGACGCGACTTTGACATATCCTAACATCACTTTGTCGGGCAAAGACAACATCAAAACTCAAAAGAACAGACAATGACTCTTCTGTTTCTCCACTCACGCCACCCTGTCTGCGTCGCACCAAACGACGAGCATCACAAACACCGGAAATCTTCCCCTTCAGTTGGTCAGCTTTCACATTTACCGCTACCCCAGTAATCACGCCTTTCAATGGCGCCCTTTTCTTGAGAGCAAAACAATTAACATCTCTTTCCCCATTCGTTTAACACAGAGCACCTTCTCCCTCTGACCAGCAGAAACACAAACAATTATCACTAGACCACTTCTGGTTACCCTCACCGATTCCACAGCACCCAACTCTGTTTTCACCCACCCTGAAACCACAAATGGATCAGCCAAAAGGCAAGGGTCCACTTTTTCCAAAAACTTCTCTCCTACTGTCACAGACTCATCTTTATCCTGACCCTCCGTGCAAACCTCGGGCTCCGAGAACTTCACCACACCTCCCACCTCCGATACTTCGCCCTCATTCACTTCCATTTCTACTCCTGTCTTCAACTCACTCTGCTTACACTTTCTACCATTCTTCTTTAACAAACCATCTCCATTTTCTCTGCCCTCTTCCTCCCTCTCTCTCTTAGACCTCCTCTGGCTCTCTTTTCCCGTCCATTCCTCCTCCGTATTCCAAGTATAACTCTCCTGACATACATGCCTTATCTAGGGACGCCATTTAACCTGCTGTCACATTCTCCGTACAATCAGCACGAACCCTCAGGATGTCCACAAGTTGTTTTGGAACAACATCAGACAAACATTCCACCATGTTGTTCCCATCTTTCACCGCTAGGGGGTGACATAAAATAGATTATTAAAACCAGAGCATAATTTAGCTACAGCAGCTACAAATGTATTTGCCCTGATTGTTGCCATTATTGCGAGCCCCTTTGCAACAATGTCACAGGGGATCGATGACATTGCATTTTGTTGTTACAAAGTTACAATATTTGCAATTTCTCTGCTTTGACTAGACAGTTTGACACAGACAGGAAAAAGCATGGTCAAACCCTTTTTTTTTTTTTTAAGATTATATTTTATTTTGGAGTTTCACAGGTGTATAGCACAAAACAGAAATGTCACCAACATAGCATTTTCCCCATCCATTTGTTTATATTAATTGCTAATGTGTTTACATCATAGAAACCATTTTGTAAAAGTATTCAAGAAGAATGCCATGAAGAATACCGACTGTGCTCAGCACAGACAAGCAGAATAAGGCACCCAAAGTCATGTAAAACCCAGGCAACCTAGAAATACAAGGTAAGCTGGATTAGAGTCCAGTTCACGTATTCATTTTCAGGGGAAGGTAGGGTACAGATTAAGCCATGTTCATTTTTTCAGGCAATCCTACCTTTTTTTAGTGGACATGACATATCCATTGAAATACATTTGTCGAGCCACCATATACACAACACCTCCAAGAACTGCAAGCGCTTGGAAGACACAAATGTACAGTATGTAATGGTATTTTATGGTACAAAATGTAAGGAATGCCCTAAAACATTCTCAGACATACAGTATTACCTTCACTGAAGAGCAGTCCAGAAGTCCACAGCACCACTAGGAAGACTGGGTACAACTCAACATTGTTCTGACTAGGGATGCAGTAGAACAATGACACACACACACACACACATCAGCATTGAGTTATGCAGACACAACATTTAATCTAAAATCAATAAAGTTTTGAATTCTTACTGTGCCCTGAATGTTCTCTCAAACTCTGGTGGTCCAGTGACAGCGGGCGGCATGACCTTGTGTGTCATTCTCGCCAGCCCCACCTGTCTCGCCAGGTACCCTGAGGAAGATACCCCAACAACACTTCAATCTTACAAACTCAACATTATATTTACACAATATAGGCCTTCATGGTTCTGTTCCCATAAGCAGGGGCATAGATATTCGTGTAGTCAACCATATTGCAGTGTAAGGCCTGAAAGTTTAGTTTGCTTACCCATTTGTAGGGCAGAAAACAGAGACACGGCAGCCAGCAGAAGGGGTATTTCCAAAGTCATGATTTTAGTATAGTTTTAGCCTAAGACAGATAGGGTTTGTCCACTGTTATAACACCAGGTTGGTTTGCGTAACTTCCTTAGGGAAAGTCACACCCATTGTCAACAAGTCTGTTCTTGTATTATGAATGCTCCAGAGCTGAGTTTCTATAACCCGCCCATAATATTGAGGAGGGGTTGTTTTAGGAGGCTGAGTGAAAACAGGTGGCTGTCCACTTCTGATAGCAAAAATAAATATACAGTAGGCCTATATACATACATTTTATTTTATTTTTATTTTATATACATTATTACTCACATTCAGTATTGTATACAGTATGCATATAGTCATTCGGTGTAGTAGGCTATATTGTCAGAAGAACTTGGATAATGTTGGAGGTGACATGATGACCTCACTGTGATTTGATGCCCTTTAGATCTTTGCCCAGTGACCCACCGCATGCTTTGGTTGTATAGTGATCGACAGGCACTATGCAGCTCAATATGAGTGATGTCAGCGCCTCTTAAAGGTGTTGCATGGTCAATCAGATATCTGCATTGGCCATGCAGCATTTACGGTGATACGGCCTCTGCAGAAGTCAGGGCATTCATACATCTTGTGCTTCGCGGAGCAGTGCAGAGCTGTTGTGAAGGAAGTTGTCAAGGAAGTGAGTTTGTGTTTATACAGGACCTCCCTCCCTCACCTACTGTCAACCAATCATGTCAATGCGGAGCTATAACGGAGCCGATGAAGTGTCGAGTGGAGATGAGAGTGAGAAGAATCGGATTTCAGTGGCGAATGCAAAAGGAAATAAGAGAAATAAAATGGAGGTTAAATCCAAACCAAGTTCTGAGTCTTTTTTGGTTGTAATAAGGGTTTTGGATCGATGTTGTTACCTGGGAGTTCCGTTTGAAGTCTATTAAAATTATGGATGCATTGGATGAGAATAACGAGAAGTGGGCTTATTTTGTTTTTGTGTGTTGGAACAGAAGGAGCGTGCTTTGCGCCTCAAGAAGATTTCGGATTGGAATGTGTAGTGTGTGGATCTTCGAAGCAGGGCGCCTACGAAGGGTGTTATCTCTGGGGTGGCGCTAGAAGTAAATGCGAAGGATATACGTGAGGAATTGGATCAAGTGGTTGGTGCACAACGACTGACCCGCGTGGTAGATTGAGTGTGGAAGCCCACTCCATAAGCCCACTCCATCCATTCTATTCTTTTTTGATGAAGAGTCTCCCTTGTCACGTGTATTTGGGTTATATGAGATTCCCTGTGAGAGCCTAGTGCCCAAACTCAAGCAGTGTGATAAATGTAAATTATTTGGTCATGTGTCAAGTGTACAGTGCATTCGGAAAGTATTCGGACCCCTTGACTTTTTCCACATTTTGTTACGTTGCAGCCTTATTCTAAAATGGATGAAATACAACATTTTCCTTGTCAACCTGCACACAATACCCCATAATGACAAAGCGAAAACAGGTTTTTTGACATTTTTACAAATGTATTAAAAATAAAAAACAGAAATACCGTATTTACATAAACATTCAGACCCTTTGCTATGAGATTCGAAATTGAGCTCAGGTTTTATTTTATTTATTTATTTAACCTTTATTTAACCAGGTAAGCCAGTTGAGAACAAGTTCTCATTTACAACTGCGACCTGGCCAAGATAAAGCAAAGCAGTGCGATAAAAACAACAACACAGAGTTACATATGGGGTAAAACAAAACATAAAGTCAAAAATACAACAGAAAATATATATACAGTGTGTGCAAATGTAGCAAGTTATGGAGGTAAGGCAATAAATAGGCTATAGTGCAAAATAATTACAATTAGTATTAACACTGGAATGATAGATGTGCAAGAGATGATGTGCAAATAGAGATACTGGGGTGCAAATTAGCAAAATAAATAACAATATGGGGATGAGGTAGTTGGGTGGGCTAATTTCAGATGGGCTGTGTACAGGTGCAGTGATCGGTAAGGTGCTCTGACAACTGATGCTTAAAGTTAGTGAGGGAGATAGGTGAGGGAGATAGGAGTCTCCAGCTTCAGAGATTTTGGTGCATCCTGTTTCCATTGATCATCCTTGAGATGTTTCTACAACTTGATTGGAGTTCACCTGTGGTAAATTCAATTGATTGGACATGATTTGGAAATGCACACACCTGTCTATATAAGGTCCCACAGTTGACAGTGCATGTCAGAGCGAAAGCCATGAGGCCGAAGGAATTATCCGTAGAGCTCTGAGACAGGATTGTGTCGAGGCACAGATCTGGGGACAGGTACCAAAACATTTCTGCAGCATTGAAGGTCCCCAAGAACACAGTGGCCTCCATCATTCTTAAATGGAAGAAGTTTGGAACCACCAAGACTCTGCCTAGAGCTGGCCGCCCGGCCAAACTGAGCAATCGGGGGAGAAGGGCCTTGGTCAGGAAGGTGACCAAGAAGCCGATGGTCACTCTGACAGAGCTCCAGAGTTCCTCAGAGGAGATGGGAGAACCTTCCAGAAGGACAACCATCTCTGCAGCACTCCACCAATCAGGCCTTTATGGTAGAGTGGCCAGACGGAAGCCACTCCTCAGTAAAAGGCATATGACAGCCTGCTTGGAGTTGGCCAAAAGGCATTTAAAGGACTCTCAGACCATGAGAAACAAGATTCTCTGGTCTGATGAAACCAGGTTTGAACTCTTTGGCCTGAATGCCAAGTGTCACGTCTGGAGGAAACCTGGCACCATCCCTAAGGTAAAGTATGGTGGTGGCAGCATCATGCTGTGGGGATGTTTTTCAGTGCCAGGGACTGGGAGACTAGTCAGGATCGGGGAAAAGCTGAACGGAGCAAAGTACAGAGAGATCCTTGATGAAAACCTGCTCCAGAGCGCTCAGGACCTCAGACTGGGGCGAAGGTTCACCTTCCAAAAGGACAATGACCTTAAGCACACAGCCAAGACAACGCAGGAGTGGCTTCGGGACATGTCTCTGAATGTCCTTGAGTGTCCCAGCCAGAACCCGGACTTGAACCCGATCGAACATCTCTGGAGTGACCAGAAAATAGCTGTGCAGTGACGCTCCCCATCCAACATGACAGAGCTTGATAGGATCTGCAGAGAAGAATGGGAGAAATTCCCCAAATACAGGTGTGCCAAGCTTGTAGCATCATACCCAAGAAGACTCGAGGCTGTAATCACTGCCAAAGGTGCTTCATCTAAGTACTGAGTAAAGGGTTTGAATACTGTACTTATGTAAATTTAATATTTCAGTTATTTAATACATTTGCAAAATTATTTGGCCCAAATATTTGAAGAAGTAATGGTAGTAGGAGTAGAGACAGAATATGATGTTCCTTGTCAACACAGGGATCCTGACATGTTACATGTTAAGAAGGTGGACTTTGTAGCGTTTATTACTTAAATTATCAACTGCACAGCGCAAACGGAGAGCAAATCGGAACAAATAGGCATCATTGTGAGTGCGGTTGAGCGTTTTTGGGGACTTTTGATGCATTACAAGGAGTCCTGTCGATGAATGAATGGGGCCCCACCGTAATGAAAATATCTTATTTTTGTTTTCTTTCAATACCCGGTACAGTAGGTGGCGGCAATACACCAATAGGTGTAGTCTGCCATAAAAATTTAAAGAAGAAGAAGAAAAGCGAGCTGAGGCAAGCAATGGAGTGGTAGATGAAGTGCTGAATATTACAAAAACGACCGCAACACTTCAATTCTCTGCGCGTGTCATCCACAGCAACCTCCACTATGGACAGCGATGACGATATGGAAGAAGTCGTTGAAGGTACGGAAAAGGCTGACAAACTCATATGCGTCGTTTTGTGTGTATTTGTTTTAATATATTTTCCGGTAAACTCTCCGCATAATATACCGTGAACAAATTGATGTTATGGTTTTAACAGGCGTTGTGGGCCCGTCGCGCCCGGGACTTTATTTCCGATGGAAGCCCACTCTTCGGGCGTGTGAGGCAGCAGTATCGACACAAATGTGGGCCTCTGTGCTTTGACACTTGAGTTAAAATGCATGAGATTGAAAAAGTATTAAATTGTATTGTAAACTATTTGCGTGCGCTCTGGGTCACGTAGGCTACGTCGGTATGTGTGCCAAAATTGTAGACTTGACTTAAAGTTTGTCGTATTAGGTGCTATGCGAAATCCGTGACACTTTATTAACCGTAGGCCTTCTTGATGTTTTATCACACAATTGTTACTTTTAGAAAATAGGTGTTATTCACAGTAGCCTACATGTGCTGACGCCGTAACGTTGTTTTTAGAGAATATCAGAGGTAATTCTAAATGCATAGTGTCGGACGACCGCGTGCGTGCGAGTTCTTGTGCCTGCATGTCTACACAATTCCATATTATGTGGGTGATTTTGCAAATACGGGCCTTTTTGTGTCTCATGATTATATTTTTAAGAGAAAATGTGAATTTAGATTTTTTTATTTCACATCCATTAAGTAGACTAAAATAACCGTAAACTTTTTTTTCCAGCTTTCAATGTGTTTTTTTATTTTGTTTTCTGAAGCTTTTCATGTCTGTATTTCACTGTTTTGCACTGTTTTTGTCCTGTCTCACACCGACTTTTGACATTTTGCTATGTATTACACTTAAAAGTCTTTATAATTAGAAAATAATTAATGCACCTGTTTAAAAAAAAGAGTCAAATAAATGGAAACTATATACATATTAGATGTGCATAAGCCACTTGTTACTTTTTTAAACAGAAAATACAGTCGTCTCTAAGTATTGGGTCATTACCACCACAACAAGCAAATTACATGATAATAACGTTTTTTCAAAAGTCTGTGTTCTTGGTTACCATGGATGTGAAAGTGGCGCACATGGATGTCATGGAGGCAGATTCAAATGTTGATGCCGGGAAATGATAGAAAAATAAAGGTGAATATGACTTGAGAAGATAATATTTTTATTGTACATCATTACCAAATAGGCTATAATGTCATCAAATAATGTCAGATTTTTGAAATTATGTTTTAATTATATGTAGGATACATTGTATACTAGCTGTTCAACTGGAGTTAGCATGCTAGAATCCCTGCTATTTATGACCAAATACTGTAAAAATGTCATTCCCACAACACGTCATTACCACCACATAATGAACTGGTAATGACTAAATGTATTAGTTCATACATTTTTACTAACCTTAAGACCTGAAAAGACACACAAATTACATATATGATCATGGTTAAGTTGAAATTGAACACTTATTTGCTAAATAAGACTATTACATTTTGTATTATGTTAGGATGATTGAGTGATTTGGATGTCTTTTTATGTGACTTACTATGGTTATTACTGATTTAATAACAATTATTTATTTTTTCTATAAGATGTCCTCTCCTTGGTTGATTTAGGGGGCAAGGACATACATTTGTATATATAGTATATGTGGACACACCTTCAAATTAGTGGATTCGGCTATTTCAGCCACACCCGTAGCTGAAAGGTGTATAAAATCGAGCACACAGCCATGCAATCTCCATAGACAAAATCGAGCACACAGCCATGCAATCTCCATAGACAAACATTGGCAGTAGAATAGCCGGTACTGAAGAGCTCAGTGACTTTCAATGTGGCACGGTCATAGGATGCCACCTTTCCAACAAGTCAGTTCGTCAAATTTCTGCCCTGTAAGTGCTGTTATTGTGAAGTGGAAACATCTAGGAGCAACAACGACTCAGCTGCGAAGTGGTAGGCCACACAAGCTCACAGAATGGGACCACCGAGTGCTGAAGAACATAGCGCGTAAAAATGGTCTGTCCTCGGTTGCAACACACTACCGAGTTCAAAACTGCCTCTGGAAGCAATGTCAGCACAATAACTTTTAGTCGGGAGCTTCATGAAATGGGTTTCCATGGCCGAGCAGCCGCACACAAGCATAAGATCACCATGCGCAATGCCAAGCGTTGTCTGGAGTGGTGTAAAGCTAGCCGCCATTGGACTCTGGAGCAGTGGAAATGTGTTCTCTGGAGTGTTGAATCACGCTTCTCCATCTGGCAGTCCGACAGACAAATCTGGGTTTGGCGGATGCCAGGAGAACGCTACCTGCCCCAATGCATAGTGCCAACTGATAAGTTTGGTGCAGGAGGAATAATGGTCTGGAGCTGTTTTTCATGGTTCGGGCTAGACCCCTTAGTTCCAGTGAAGGGGAATCTTAACACTACAGCATACAATGATATTCTAGACGATTCTGTGATCCCAACTTTGTGGAAACAGTTTGGGGAAGGCCCTTTCCTGTGCACAAAGTGAGGTCCATACAGAAGTGGTTTGTCGAGATCGGTGTGGAAGAACTTGACTGGCCTCCACAGAGCCATGACCTCAACTCCATCTAACACCTTTGGGATTAATTGGAACGCCGACTGCGAGCCAGGCCTAATCGCCCAACATCAGTGCCCGACCTCACTAATGCTCTTGTGGCTGAATGGAAGCAAGTCCCCACAGCAATGTTCCAACATCTAGTGGAAAGCCTTCCCAGAAAAGTGGAGGCTGTTATAGCAGCAAAGGGGGGACCAACTCCATATTAATGCCTGTGATTTTGGAATGAGATGTTCGACGAGCAGGTGTCCACATACTTTTGGTCATGTAGTGTATATAAACAAAATCAAACAAGATCCTATAAGATACCAGGAGTATCTTAAGAAACAAAAAGAAAGATACCTCAAGAGAAAAGAAAGTGGTGTGTTGTGAAATATGATGAAGACCCTTACCTGGTATTATACAAGATGTTGATGCAGAGAGCTGCGCTCTAGTCAAAACCATGAGTCGTGTGGGAGCCAACCGATTATTTTGGCCAATGAGAGAGGACATTGTATGGTACCAACCAGAGAATGTGCTTGGGCTTGTCCCTGAGCCTCATCCAGTGAAAAAAAACGGCATGTGATGCTTGATGGCGCAGTCTGGGAGGAAATTTGGTCTCTCGTTAAGCAATAGAGAGCATAAAAATGTTGAGTGAGCACACACCTGTCTCGTGTCTGAATTAATAGGCTGCAGCCAGTGAACAATAATTTGTTTAATGTCAACCAGTGTTTCCAACCTTGTACATGTATTTATGCCTAATGCATTTAATCCCAAATTGTTCTAAAATATGCTTTAAGTTCTTGAGACATGTAACCTTTGTTTTTTGAGGTTTTGAATGGTCTGTTCTATATCTTCAATAAAATTAAACATGTACAACTGTGACAAAATGTTTAATGTTATTTTTCATCAGTTTTATATTCAATGTAATTTCCACCACACGCTGTCATTACCACAACACTAAGTCATTACCATCACGGTACATATTTTTGAGGAAAAGGTGTATTAAATTACAATTAATATTGATGATTTTTCCCATATGTGAACCTTATATGCATGTTCTTAAGATAATTCCTAAAATAATGTAAAATATTAAGATTTTGATTTGGTAAATACATGTTTCTGAGTATCATCAAGGCATATATAGACATTTAGACATGACAATGATGAATACATATAATTAAAACTTCCAAATAGTAAAAAATACATAATTTAAAAGAAAAACGTAAAATGTTATATAAAATACCATAGGCACAATTTCTGTAATTTCCTTTTCAACTAAAATACCACATTTTATGACGTGGTGGTAATGACATTTACCCTCGGGTATTTGGGGAAACCGATAAAAATCTTTATATTCTTAAAAAGTATGGTCTCAGCCACTATTAGATCTTGTTACCAGGCAGAGTGAAGAAAATATTCATTTTCAAAAACATTTAACATCCAAAAGTACCCGTATTTGCAAAATCAACCATGTAGCTGCTGGCACCTGATTACTTGGAATTTTTGTGAAGGGGTTGAGTTAAACTAAAATTAGATACAGCAGACAACCATTAGATTCGGCTCCAACACCCTCAGAACCAACTAATCTTAAAGCTCCCACCCCATGGCCCAAAAAGCAATTAATATCAGTTGATGTGGTCCTGATAGCGTGCGGAAAAAAGGGCTAATTTTAAATGTCTGGATTAGAGCTTTGATCGGCCTTAATACTTCATTAATGCTTGATTCTGCTCACATAGGCTACTCATTTAGCTAAAATGATCACAAGAGCAGAGAAAGGCCAGTGCCTTTTGCAACCCGCACATTATTTACTGCACACACTGTATGTAATTGTTTGAAACCTGGACGTTTTACCAAATTAATAAGGCATGTCTTACCTTGCTTCAAAGTAGCCTAGCCAAAATCCGACCATAGAAACGATGAGGGAATTATTACTTGTATGCCATTGAAACCAGCATTTCTCTTGGTTTCCAAATCAACATTTCTTTCACCAGCCAGAGGCACAATCCTAGTCATATTGTATGACTAGGATTGTGCCTTTGGCTGATGAAAGAAATGTTGATTTGGAAACCAAGAGAAGTAAGGTATAGTACTACCAACCCTAAAGTGGTGCTGGCATAGCACACAAGTGGTCAGGTTGCCCTAAAATTATCAGGCTTGGATCTGGATCAGAACAGCAAGCAAAGCAAAGGGTGCATTTATCATCTGGGCCCAGTTTTTCAAAAGTTATCTATCTGGTCGATTTCGCCTATCGGATAGGATTAAATGCATAGAAATATGAATGAATAGAACAGGTGTCCCCATTCAAGTCAATGATTCGTCCATCGTATTCGTTCTATTTCAATGCATGTAATCCTATCCGATAGGCAAAATCCAGATAGATAACCTTTGAAAAACTGGGCCCAGATACAGTGACTTGGCAATAATGCAGACTCCTAAATGTGTGGTTCTATTTCCGAGACGATTTGTAGAAATGGAGACTGTTGAACTCCAATGTAAGCTGTCTTGTGCCTCTGTACAATCCTGATGTGTGTGCGTGTCCAGGCCCTCTGGATGAGGATGACCAGCCTCACGGGTTCTGTACAGTCACCTTCTCCTCCAGCGATCGCTTTGAAGGACATTTTACACATGGAGAAAAGAATGGGAAGGGCAAGTTCTTCTTTTTCGATGGCAGGTATGACAGAAAAGCATACACGGTCCATTCAAGTGTGACTGTGTGATCTCTCTCTCTCGCTGTCTCGCTCTCAGGCTCTTATCTAGCTACCTTGCCTTGCCTTAATTAACCCTCCCATAACCCATCCCCCCTCCCTCCTCCTCCTCCCCTCCACAGCACCTTGGAGGGGTTCTATGTGGACGATGCGTTACAGGGTCAGGGGGTGTACTCCTACGAGGATGGAGGGGTCCTCCATGGGACCTATATGGATGGGGACCTCAACGGCCCTGCACAGGAGTTTGATTCTGAGGGCCGGCTGATGTTTGAAGGCCAGTACAAAGACAACAGCCGCTGTGGGGAGTGTTGGATCTACTACCCTGTGAGTCATCATACTCATCTGTAACTTGTTGTTATGTTACATTACACAAGTTACATTGAGATTTCATAGGGCGTAGAACTGTCTTCTAAAGTTGGCTGCTTTTCCATATTCAAAACTGAAGAATGAATTGATTGAACACTCAACTAATTGCTGTGTGTGTCCAGGACCGAGGCAGTGTATTTGGGCAGGTGAACGAGGATGGCGAGATGACCGGTAAAGCGGTGGCGTATGTTTACCCAGATGGCCAAACGGCTCTCTATGGGAGCTTCGTGGAGGGGGAGCTGATCGAGGCTCGACTCGCCACCCTGGTTTCCATGGAGACCACCAGACCACACTTTGACGTTTCACCTGACAGTGAGTGACATGACACACAGGACAAGTAAACCGGTAGTCAAATATAACGCTGTAGGTTTTCTAAAATCTCAGCATTTCCTGTTCTTTCTTAGGCCCTGTGTACTCCTATGATAAATCCACTTCCACCTGTATCGCTACCCACACTCTTCTTCCAGACCCCTATGAAAGCAAAAGGTAGGTACAGTGCATTCGGAAAGTAATCAGACCCCTTGACTTTTTCCACATTTTGTGACGATACAGCCTTCTTCTAAAATGGATTAAATAAAAATAAAAAATCCTCATCAATCTACACACAACACCCCATAATGACAAAGTGAAAACCGGCTTTTAGAAATGTATGCAAATGCATTAAAACATATACCTTATTTACATAAGTATTCGGACCCTTTGCTATGAGACTCGAAATTGAGCTCAGGTGCATCCTGTTTCCATTGATCCTCATCGAGATATTTCTACAACTTGATTGGAGTCCACCTGTGGTAAATTCAATTGATTGGATATGATTTGGAAAGGCACACACCTGTCTATATAAGGTCCCACAGTTGACAGTGCATGTCAGAGCAAAAACCAAGCCATGAGGTCGAAGGAATTTGTCTAGGTACAGTTCTGGGGAAGGGTACAAAAAAATGTCTGCAGCATTGAAGGTCCCCAAGAACACTGTGGCCTCCATCATTCTTAAATGGAAGAAGTTTGAACCACCAAGACTCTTCCTAGAGCTGGCCGCCCGGCCAAACTGAGCAATCGGGGGAGAAGGGCCTTGGTCAGGGAGGTGACCAAGAACCCGATGGTCACTTTGACAGAACTCCTCAGTAAAAGGAACATGACAGCCCGCTTGGAGTTTGCCAAAAGGCACCTAAAGGACTCTGACCATGAGAAACAAGATTGTCTGGTCTGAATGCCAAGCGTCACGTCTGGAGGAAACCTGGCACCATCCCTACGGTGAAGCATGGTGGTGGCAGCATCATGCTGTGGGGATGTTTTTCAGCTCCAGGGACTGGGAGACTAGTCAGGATCGAGGGAAAGATGAACGGAGCAAAGTACAGAGAGATCCTTGATGAAAACCTGCTCCAGAGCTCCCAGGACCTCAGAGTGGGGCGAAGGTTCACCTTCCAACAGGACAACGACCTTAAGCAAACAGCCAAGACAACGCAGGAGTGGCTTCGGGACAAGTCTCTGAATGTCCTTTGAATGTTCCAGCCAGAGCCTGGACTTGAACCCGATCAAACATCTCTGGAGAAACCTGAAAATAGCTGTGCAGCGACGCTCCCCATCCAACCTGACAGAGCTTGAGAGGATCTGCAGAGAAGAATGGGAGAAACTCCCCAAATACAGATGTGCCAAGCTTGTAGCGTCATATCCAAGAAGACTCAAGGCTGTAATTGCTGCCAAAGGTACTTCAACAAAGTACTGAGTAGAGGGTCTGAATACTTACGTAAATGTGATATTTCTTTTTTTTTTTGTTGCAAAACAATCTAAAAACCTGTTTTAGCTTTGTCATTATGGGGTATTCAAGTGTAGATTGTTGAGGAAAAAAAACAATCAATTTTGAATAAGGCTGTGACATAACAAAGTGGAAAATGTGAAGGGGTCTGAATACTTTTCGAATGCACTGTAACTCTTATTAAGTCTAGTAGGTACAAATTTCTAAAATTCTGTTTTTACATAGACATATCCTATGGGTTTACCTTCGGCTGTCACATATGAGAGAAGCTGATCTGAAGTCAGTTTTGCTGTGTCATTCCCTGTTGTGTCACAGGGTATTTGTGGCAGACTCACTGATCTCAGGAGCAGGAGAAGGCTTGTTTGCCAAGATTGATGTTGAGGCCAATGTTGTAATGGCCTTTTACAACGGAGTACGCATCACACACTCAGAGGTAAGAGGGAGAGGGAGCTGTGTTTGTGTGTCAAATCAAATCAAATGTTACTTGTCACATGCTTCGTAAACAACAGGTGTAGACCAACAGTGAAATGGTTACTTACGAGCCCTTCCCAACAATGTAGAGGGGGAAAGATAAAGAAAAATAATAACGCAAGGAGTAAATACACAATGAGTAATGTTAACTTGGCTATATACACTGGGTACCAGTACCGAGTCGATGTGCAGGGGTACGAGGTAATTGAGGTAGATATGTACATGTAGGTAGGGATAAAGTGACTAGGCAACAGGATAGATAATAAACCGTAGCAGCAGCGTATGTGATGAGTCAAAATAGTTAGTGCAAATAGGATCAATGCAGATAGTCCGGCTAGCTATTTGGTTAACTATTTAATGTGTGTGTGTGTGTGTTCATACAAAACCTAATGTAGCTCTAGGCGATTAGACTACTAATGTGTTATGAGTTTCACAAAGACAAGGTATGAGCAATAATCATTCACATGGCAAACCAAATACTGTGTATATAGATGTCTGTGCTAAACAAAACATAATTTTTGAATTAAATACTGTTGTTGTTTTTGTTGTTGTTGTTTGTGGTGTTGCCAACGGTGCTTCCCAGGTAGACAGCAGGGATTGGTCCCTGAACGGGAATACCATCTCCCTGGATGAGGACACAGTGATTGACGTTCCCCAGCCCTTCCACCAGATGGACAGATACTGTGCCTCAAAGGGACACAAGGCCAACCACTCCTTCACCCCAAACTGCAAATACGACCCGTGAGTATTATCCAAGCATAGCGTGAACAAATATGACCCAACCTGAGAGCAACATGATGTTCAGGAGGGTACAATGGTCTGAATAGTAAAGATAGAATTGTCATGTATTCTAGGGTTGGACGGTATCCAGATGGTCATACCGTTTGCGTACCATACCGGTGTATACAGTATTACCGAATGTGCACACAAGGTGCGCTATTAATAATAAATAAATAATTAAATGCACAAAACAATTTAGGTAACAGGGATCTTGAGATTGAATGTCTCTGCTGTAACCATGAAGCTTGATCTTGACATCTAACCACTTAGCTAGTAAGGTAGCAAACCAAATTCATAGCTGGAGCCCTGTGCTGGATATAATTAATTTGACACATCTTACATTTCTTAGTTATAGTTATAAGCAGTGGCGTAGCACGCACCCCTGCAGTGGGTGCCCCCAACCCCCCAACCCCCCAACCCCCCCGAAAAAGTATATATTTTTAACGGTATTGAAAATCAGACCGTCGGTATAAACTATATATATCGCCCAAGCCTAATGTATTCTATTATGTTCTATTTCAGTATATGATCCATTATCAAAAACACATCTGTCTGTTGATCATTTGCTTCCTCAGATTCGTCCACCCTCGTTTTGGGCCCATCAAGTGCATCCGCACCCTGCGGGTGGTGCAGAGGGATGAGGAGCTGACTGTTGCCTATGGTTACGACCACGAGCCATCGGGGAAGAGCGGTCCGGAGGCACCAGACTGGTACAAACAGGAACTGCAGGCCTTCCAGCAGAGACAGACTACCAACGGGCAGTAAAAAAACGTACTACTACTCCACTCAATCTACCCGAACAACTACTACCCCGTTGGACCCCCCTTTTCATAGAACAAGGGCAATAAAGCATCTACCACTCTACTGACACAACTGCTACCCACCTCCCTGCCCTTTGCACAGGAGCAATAACTCCCAAAAGAAATAAAATAAATTCAAAATATTGACGCGGTCGGTGTAACAAAGCATGTTACTTTCCCGACCTGAACTAGTGTTACCCTTACACCCAAACATCCTCTTCCTTAACAGTGCTCTCAATGCAGCCCTGCTTCAACCTCCACCTACTCATTAATAACTGCCCCCCTCTAGACTGAACCCCTCTACCTGAGCCCCCAGTCTTGCTACGGCTGCTCCTTGAGGACAAAAGGCACAGCAACATTGAGGGCTCGGATCAGACTATTTCCAAACATCGAAGGATTGTTTGAGAGCTTGGCAACACAGGTGGAAGGTGTGATATGTCGATTTGTACGGTATAGGAATGGAACACCGCTGTACGTGGATGTGGGTGAGGGTGCTATGGAGATCAGCACTAACCCAGCCACACTTGCACTTAAACACAGGAACCTATGTGTCACGTCAAGAGACCAATCAGATGTAATGTACAAGGTTTACTGCTGTATTTGCTGCTCTGTGAGTCTCGTTCTCCCCAGCCTGTGTCTTTTATACAACCTATGGACATGAACTCGTGGTATGTGGAGTGTCCTTGATATTAGTTTGGTAATTGAGATCAAGTTAGACCCTTATTCCTTTTACTCCACTGTGACAGTGTGTTAGTGTGTGTACTGGCTGTTTAAACATTGTCTCTGTGTGAATCTGAATAGGTTTGAAGACATTGGCTTTGCCAAATCATTTCCCCAACATCACCTGAGTATAGTATAAATCATGATCTGAATGTCCTCTTCAGCCACTTACAGTAAATTGACATGGTTGGCCTTCTAACCTTTTTTTTGACATACATTAAATACTAACCAATGATATCTATAGTTCATTAGTTACATTTATTTATCAACACTTTTCTCACCTTTTGGTTGGTGTTATTGTCAACTCTGCACATGATTCAGACCAACAAGTGAGCTCAACTTTGGAGACTGTTTAAATACTCTGGGAGATAAAAAGGTCAACTGTGATAGCAATAGCAATGGTAAACTCGTAAGTAGCCCAGACTAAACACAAATAAAGACAACATGAACCATCCATCTGTGACTTGCTTAGATTTTTTTATTCTAATGTGCTAGTTTTAACGAAGTACGAGTATGTGTAATAAAATTATTCATGTGTTGATTGATCTCTATTGGCAATAGTTAAGTGGTATTCAAAACCAGATTTATTGCGTTTGCTCATGAAACGCAACATCAGAAGAGAAGGAAACTATCTCCTACCTACCACAATGATGGCAGAGAAGGGGTTAAATATTTGCATGGGATTTCATCGCTGTGCACCTGCGCGTGGGCGGGTTAATGGTTAACGCGCTGATGTTCACCTGTCGTGCGTGAGTCAACAGAAACCAACACAACAGCCCGGAAGAAAGTCAGTGAGCGGACAGGGGAAAGGACAGTTGACCTATTTAACAAAAGTATAATAACTTATAAAAATGTTGCAGTGAGAGAACTCATTTTGGAAGTCGGACTGGGTGTTTTTGTGTGAACTCTAGGACAAAGGACTTTGGACGCGCCAAAGTAAAAGTTCAACTGGAGATGGACCGCTACCGGTATTTCATCTTCAACCAGCGCAGTGTCGTCGTTCTGGGCATCCTGCAGGTGGCATGTGCGGCGCTGTGCTTGGTGTGCGGATTCATTGATGCGTTTTTTCGGAAAAACACCACCCTCAGTGAAACTAGGGCACCTGTGTGGGCGGGTTTGGTGAGCATGGGTTTTCTTTCATCTAAACATATGTAATGATTTATCAAAATATAGAGGATGACACTTTGGACTGCCTGTTTGTCGTCATTCATAATGACTTCCTCCTATAGATTATGGCCTGCCCAGGTGCGCTGGCGCTCTTTGCTTCCCAAAGGAAAAATCCAGTATTGGTAAGTGTGATAAAGGTAGCCTTGGCTTGATTCCTCCTATTGAATTACAATTAAAGCACACCAAACATGATTTCATTTTGTCTGACTGAATTCCACAAAGGTGACAAGTAATGTTAAATCCTCTAATAGCCTGGTTTGACCCTGTTCAGGTGAATGTAATGATCGCTGCCTCAGTGTGCTCCGGTGTTTCCGTGGTGATGGTGTCAGGCTACGCCTGCCTAACGTTGACCTATGGCGAAAATGACAACGAGGTGTTCCACCATCACAACAACCCTGAAGTGGTAATGCCCGACCCTACCAGCTCCCACAAACGATCAACACAACAATCTCTTTCACACATAGTGCCTACTCTGGTCTGTGTGCCAGTCAGTTTCTGCTTCAGCCAACTGCTTTGTTGTCACAAAGGATTTAGTCTGGTATATCCAACCTGGTCTCAGAGCATGTTGTATAATTCTGTATGTAAATCCGAGACACTCTATTTCAGCCAAACAACTGGCGGACCGCGGTCCGGGTCCGGACCCAAAGAAGGGTCAATCTGGACCGGACAACATCGCTCTTTGTTATATAAAAGTCAATACATTCTTTTTAGACAGCTTTTAAAAAATCTACTGGGCGCAGCAGCCTCTTTAACTCAGCAACCTCTCTTTCTTGCTCTCTCTCGAAGCAACGCCCACCTCTACTAGTGCCCCGTCTAATCCAATCGCGTGGTTATATGCAAATACAAGAGGCCACGTCTTACCCAATCACATTAATGATGAGAACAAACAAGATTCATCAACTCAAATCCCAATATTAGAGGTCCACCAAAGTCCTTGTCAATTTCCTGACAGCCCAACAATGTGCAATGGAGTGTTCACTGAGGATAGCTTGGGTTTTGGGAAAACGCAAAAAAACATTTTCAGACACTGAGATGGTAAAAGAATGCATGTGTGAAGTTGCTGACACCTTGCTTGAAGGTTAACAAAAAGATCAAACAGATCCCACTGTCAGATTCCACAGCAATGAGAACTGGAATATTACCTGAAGATTTAACTTCACAACTTGATGAGGCCATTCAGAATGCACCATGCATTTCATTAGCTGTGGATGAATCAACAGATAATGCCCAGCTTCTGGTGTTTGTCAGATTTTATAACAGAACAAAGAAGGGGGATTGATCTGAAGTCAGTGGTCCATCACCACAGATGGAGCTCCAGCCATGATAGGAAGAGGGGGGGGACTGGTTGCACGTTTGAAAGACGACTACCCTGACCTGACATATCACTGCATCATCCATCAATCTATCCTGTGTGCCAGTCTGGGAAAAGGGTATTCTGAGGTCATGACAACGATGATGAAACTGATCAACTTTTTGAGAGCAACATCATCCCTACAACAGCGCCTGCTACGAGGCATTCTGACAAAGGCCAATGCCAGTTTTGATGACTTACTACTGCACAACAATATCAGATGGCTCAGCAAAGGCAGGTTTTGGAACGCTTTTGGGCCATTTAGGAGGAAATCAAAGCTTTCTTATCAGAGCAAAAGAGTGACAAGGCAACTGAGTTTTTGGAAGATGATGAGAAGATGGAAACAGTTGCATTTTTGACAGACATTACATCACACCTTAATCAACTGAATGTTAAGCTGCAGGGACAGGACAACACAGTGTGTGATGTGATGATAACAGCAGTCCGGGCTTTCCAGAAGAAATTGGAGCTTTTCAAGAATGACCTCCAGGGAGAACTTGTCCACTTCCCCAATCTTCTGGAGCAAACGCAGGGAGACAAAAGTTCCCAACCATGTTGATTTCATCCAGAAGCTGATGGATAACTTCAAGGCTCGCTTTGATGACTTCACTGTTGGAAGAGAACTTCACTGTTGGTTGCTCTCACACCATTTGTGCCAAAGTTCAAAGCATTGGCAGGAGACAGACAGTGTAATTTCTCTCATTAATGCAGGGAAAGGCCCAGAGTGACTTATACATTAATATTGCACGGCCCACAGTGACGTTATGTGCATTCACATGATTATTTTTGTTAAACTCTCCTTTGTTCTCCAGAAACATGCACTTTTATTTTATAAAAAAAAACATTTTCTAATTCAAGGCCCATGTACAATGGTTCACAGTGCACTTTTTGCACAGACAATTGTTGCAAAAGAGTAGTAAGTAGTTGAAAAGTTGCTAAAATACTAAAGTTGTCCAAGATGAGATTTGAACTCACAACCTTTGGATTGCTAGAGGTTCGCGTTATACATTTCCCTTAAGTAACCATCTGTAAATCAAGTGTGTCGGATGTACGTACAGAATAATACGAAATGCTCTGAGACCAGGTTGGTATATCTGACACTTCCTCCCTGATAGCCTGGGGATGAGGTTACAAAGGATTTGACTAAAGCAGAAACTACTCTCTCTGAATCCTAAGGAGGTACCTAACTACCCTTCTTACACCCCAAACACATCTTGGATGGTTCATCAATAATAATGTGTGTTACTCTGACTGCTCTACAGAGGTTTATGCTGAGCCGGATGGTGAAGGGGGCCAATGCCACCATACTGTTGGTCTGTGTCGTCAGCCTGGTCCTCTCCTCTCTCATCGCCTTTGTAGGCTGTCGCAGTCTGCCCCTCTGTGGCTGCTACGATGGCCTCACTGGCCTGGTAAGAACATGCAGTAGTGCTATATCACACTGTACCATACTATGCTCTACCACACTAAACCATATCAGAGCACTAGATAATCATACCTGCCAATCATATACAGTTGTCTGCCTGATCCTCCCATGTTTTCAGACTGTGTGTTTATTTCAGGAGCTACTGGTCCCTCAGAATGACCCCAGCACACAGACCGAGCTTGTGTGTACATGGCAAGGTAAGTTATCTAGGTGAGTGAGGAAGAGGGAAAGCTAGGTGGTCGAGCTCTGGCCACTCTTAGGCTGAGTGTTTGCTGTGTTGAGACACTTGTTTGGTATTGACTGTAGTGATGCAGTTGCTCCCTCCCCCAGCAGGTAGCGAAGACAGTGTGTTAAACTCTCCAGTGAACTTCAGTGACAGATGTCCTGAGGTAGAAGAGGCACCCTCCAAACTCCCCCCCTACAGCAGACTCACCTGAGAGGAATCCTCTAGGGCAGTGGTTACCTAACCTTGTGAAAGGGGACTTCGGAGGGAAAAACCCCATTTAGCACCTTTGGCAATTACTCATGTTTGAGTAAACCGAATTAAAACCAGCAGACCCAGCTATAGAGGATTGTTATGTTGTAGTGAGTAGCTATCTATATTATTGTCCACTAGCATTTCACCAAACAGAGAACCAAGAGGAGGCAGAATAACAGATGCAATATACCAAACATTTCAACCTGCCATTTCCAAATAGATTGTCTACTGTTCTTCCACTTATTACCCATCTACTTGTATGTGTAAATCCCAATGTAATATACACATACTTAGTGTAAATATGCCTTTTTTAATGAATCTGCCAAAGTATCAGCATGGAAGTGCCTTGCACGGTATCCCGTGACAGTTGAAATGTACATGGTCCTTCTGTGAGGCTGCTCACGTTTGGATTGTTGCCCTGTTTTATAGGTGTTTTTATATGCCATGTTCTATTCAACTAAATAAATCTTTTGAAATAATGTTTTATTTGATGATCTTTCTTTAACTGCCTCGTACCACAGACAATAACATGTTGTCCTGAAATAACAATGCCTTGAAATGTACAGGATGCTTTATTGCAAGGTTACACATAACATTTGTAATGTAATCCATAAACCATTGCAAGGCTTTACTCCTTTTTTTACTTCCCAGAAGTTCAGTCCTGAAGTGTTCAGTCTCTCGACGTAATAAATGGCATCTTTCTCAAACATATTTATCGGGGCACTTGAAAAGAGCTATCAAGCAGTACACATACCTCTGTATCAAATAACCCAAATAAAATGAACAGAAATAAATGTATGAACTTCAGAGAGCACCAACACATTACAAACCAAAAGGACACTAAAGACCATATGAAAGTAAAACAAGAGTGCAAGGCAATTGATAAAGCCTACCATTTTCTCTGTCTAGTGTTGTAGTCCAATCTAAGGGTAACAGGTCATAGAGAATATTAATATTAATTAATTAACTGTATCCTGAGAAAAGGCCATCTATCTGAGTCCACAGTACCTTAGAGCAGCTGATTAATGTGATGTGGCATCTGTGTTCTACTGGCTACAAACAGTCCTTTTACGATAAGACTTACTGGTAATCTGACATACAGCACATAAACACGGGCACAAGTCTTCATTAGAGGGTAATTTCACTGGTGGGTTTTCATTGCAACTGTCCCATGTTCAAACAAGCAGAGGGGTGTATTACAAAGCAGGATCAAGGAGTTCGCTAACTTGCCTAAATATTCTGAAATAACATTTCATATTTTAGAAAGATAATCTTGAAATGTGCATGGTCTAAATGACTCAACAACCAAAACAATATCTTAGTTTAGCTTTCTTAATTAACAAAAAGCTAAATTGTTATTTCTGGGGGTTTTTTTTTAATCAAAGTTAGCTGGCTAATTCATTGACCCTGATTTGTAGTGTACCCCTCAGGTGCGTTAGCTAAGCTTAATAGGCAACAACACAGGTACTGTTCTTCTCTATACTATTTTTGACACATTTTACAGACTTGTAAAGATAAAGAAACCCATGCATTGATAGCAGTCATCCAATTGTGCACTACGTCATCCATTTAGTACGATACGTTACATCCTGCAAAAAAATGTTTTATCTACACATTTGTTTGGGTGCAAATCCAATTTGTACAATATGATACAAATTTGTTGTGCTTAAGATCCCGGACTGCATCTTCAACCAAAGCAGATTATGAAGAGGAAATGATGACAAGTCTTGCCCCACATCAACAATGATCTCATCAGGAGGAGTGGTAAGTGCAGCATCATGCGTTTCACTCACAGTAGTTTACATTTCTCTGATGTTATGCCACACATCTTTCTCACAGTCACACACGTAAAGCTGAAACTCACACTAGCGATGGACCACAGGACCAGCTGTGATCCAAACACACACAAAGCAATGATGACGATAGTAAAGGCATTGGGACGACAACACACTAGGGTAGAAAACAGCTAAGTGGGGACTGAATACGTGTATGGTTACTTAGAAATGTCACTTAGGAGAAATTGTATTTTTTGTATATTGTAATAGTTGTTTTATAGATGTGACTTATGTAAGACATGCTGCATAAGATAACTTTGCTTAGGAAACCATTTTATAGTTGTCTGCTTTACGCAGGGGCACAATTATAAACCCTATGGATGGGAATTTTGTTACAGAAACGCCTGAGTGATGTGCACTGATATGGCCTGCTGTAAACTATGAGAGGTATGTGTGCGTTATTCCTACATGTAAATTGAGTATGTTGTACATCAATCTCAAACAGTTCAGTGGAACCAGTCAACATGATTCACTTCAAACAAGTTACCTTTTGATCTTTTTTCTTTCCCATATCACCGAGATGTTTACCATATACAGCTGAAGTCGGAAGTTTACATACACTTAGGTTGGAGTCATTAAAACTCGTTTTTCAACCACTCCACACATTTCTTGTTAACAAACTATAGTTTTGGCAAGTCGGTTAGGACATCTACTTTGTGCATGACACAAGTAATTTTTCCAACAATTGTTTACAGACAGATTATTTCACTTGTAATTCACTGTATCACAATTCCAGAGGGTCAGAAGTTTACATACACTAAGTTGACTGTGACTTTAAACAGCTCAGAAAATTCCAGAAAATGATGTCATGGCTTTAGAAGCTTCTGATAGGCTAATTGACATCATTTGAGTCAATTGGAGGTGTACCTGTGGATGTATTTCAAGGCCTACCTTCAAACTCAGTGCCTCTTTGCTTGACATCATGGGAAAATCAAAAGAAATCAGCCAAGACCTCAGGAAAAAAAATTGTAGACCTCCACAATTCTGGTTCATCCTTGGGAGCAATTTCCAAACGCCTGAAGGTACCACGTTCATCTGTACAAACAGTAGTACGCAAGTATAAACACCATGGGACCACGCAGCCGTCCTACCGCTCAGGAAGGAGACGCGTTCTGTCTCCTAGAGATGAACGTACTTTGGTGCGAAAAGTGCAAATCAATCCCAGAAGAGCAGCAAAGGACCTTGTGAAGATGCTGGAGGAAACGGGTACAAAAGTATCTATATCCACAGTAAAACAAGTCCTATATCGACATAACCCGAAAGGCCGCTCAGCAAGGAAGAAGCCACTGCTCCAAAACCGCCATAAAAAAGCCAGACTAAGGTTTGCAACTGCACATGGGGACAAGATTGTACTTTTTGGAGAAATGTCCTCTGGTCTGATAAAACAAAAATATAACTGTCTGGCCATAATGACCATCGTTATGTTTGGAGGAAAAAGGGGCACGCTTGCAAGCCGAAGAACACCATCCCAAATGTGAAGCACGGGGGTGGCAGCATCATGCTGTGGGGGGCTTTGCTGCAGGAGGGATTGGTGCACTTCACAAAATAGATGGCATCATGAGGAAGGAAAATGATGTGGATATATTGAAGCAACATCTCAAGACATCAGTCAGGAAGTTAAAGCTTGGTCGCAAATGGGTCTTCCAAATGGACAACGACCCCAAGCGTACTTCCAAAGTTGTAGCAAAATGGCTTAAGGACAACAAAGTCAAGGTATTGGAGTGGCCATCACAAAGCTCTGACCTCAATCCTATTGAAAATGTGTGGGCAGAACTGAAAAAGCGTGTGCGAGCAAGGAGGCCTACAAACCTGACTCAGTTACACCAGCTCTGTCAGTAGGAATGGGCCAAAATTCACCCAACTTATTGTGGGAAGCTTGTGGAAGGCTACCTGAAACGTTTGACCCAAGTTAAACAATTTAAAGGCAACGCTACCAAATACCAAATACTAATTGAGTGTATGTAAACTTCTGATCCACTGGGAATGTGATGAAATAAATAAAAGCTGAAATAAATCATTCTCTCTACTATTATTCTGACATTTCACATTTTTAAAATAAAGTGGTGATCCTAACTGACCTAAGACATGGAATTTTTACTAGGATTAAATGTCAGGAATTGTGAAAAACTGAGTTTAAATGTATTTGGCTAAGGTGTATGTAAACTTCCGACTTCAACTGTATGATAATAGTCCTTCCTTCCTATATCTCCCCTAACCTCCCTCTCTTGCTTCCCCCAATGCTCTCTCTCTCACCCCTCCTCTCTCAGCAGCTGCAGGTCCAGCTCACCTTCTCCTCGCCCTCGTCCCTCCCCCTCCTCAGGGTCACTGTGTCCCCCCCTAACACCCCCCTGGGCAGCTGGCTCAGTATCAGAGGCTTCTGGGACTTCAGCTTGTGGGCCACCGTCATGAAGATGGCCTCCACGTGATCGCTGCTCCCCCGGCTACTATCACCGCTGCCATCACTGCTGGGGTTCTTGGCGGACGTCTCGAACAGTGGCATGGAGTGGGCGTCGGCAAACTGCTGGGCCAAGTCTGTGCCCACCTGGACAGAGTTCTGCAGGTCACATTTGTTCCCCACCAGGATCCTCGGGACCTCCTGGCCCAGGGCGTGCTGCTTACACTCCTCGATCCAGGTCGGGAGGCTGCGGAAGCTGGCGGCGCTGGTCACGTCGTACACAAACACCACTGCGTGCACGTTGCGGTAGTAGTGCTGCACCATGCTCTTACGAAAACGCTCCTGGCCCGCCGTGTCCCATAGCTGGACCTGGAGAGGGAGAGAGAGAGGGAGGGGAAAGAGAGTACAAATTATAATGACACTGAACAGTTTCTTGGATATATTGGTCCTCTGTAGCTCAGCTGGTAGAGCACAGCTGGTAGAGCACGGCGCTTGTAACACCAAGGTAGTGGGTTCAATCCCCGGGACCACCCATACACAAAAATGTATGAACGCATGACTGTAAGTCGCTTTGGATAAAAGCGTCTGCTAAATGGCATATTATTTTTATTATTATTATTATTATTATTATTGAAAGTTGTCAGTCCTCAAGAAACAAACACAGTAGCTAAACATAATGTCCAATGTGAAGGTGCTATAGGATGAACTCAACTGTAATATGTGTATGATTCTACAGAGGGCAGTCGGTGCACCAGACAGATAGCTAGTTCTCTCTGCTGCCACTGCCCTTGAGATCATCAAAGATCTAGACGTATGAAATTGATGCCACAACAATCCCCCTCCCCCCTGTCTGCATTTATGCCCATTGTGTGTTTCAAATTGTTCTGTTTTAGAATAATCCAAACAAAAACAAAAATGTTGCATGTTTTATGTCATTTGGCAATTCACCTTGATTGTCTCGCCGTCAATCTCGATAAGTTTCTCCCGAAAGTCCACCCCGATCGTGGCCTCGGTTTTCTCCGGAAACTTGCCCGCACAGAATCGGTAGGTGAGGCAGGTCTTGCCCACCCCGGAGTCCCCAATCACGATGATCTTGAAAATCCGTGTCCGTGGTGGCGGAAGATGAGACGAGACAGTCAGTGAACTGGTGAATTCCATCGACGACTCTACACTTGCCATATTGATTAGTTATTAATTATCGAGGGTATACTAGCTAGCTAGCTAACTGCCTAGCTAACCCACAGAGCTGTTGTAGCGTGCAAAACTGCAAATGCTAGCTGGATGGTCTGTCAAAATTAGACAAGGAATCTTGGCCAATACAAATGCAATTGGACATTCGTGGCAAATCTGTGAGCTCCAAATATAAACATATGACCATGCATTAGTTTTGTACTGACAATTTCAGGTTGCTAGCTAATGCAATCTTCTAACTCCCTCCCTGCCCTGTGTTAGATATAAAGTCGCGTACAATGTTGACAGAAAACAAGACTCTCGCGAGAGGGAACCAAGAAAGTGAAAGCCTTTCTTGATTGGATCAGATTCGACACAATGGGCGTTGCTTACAACTTCAGCCCGCCTCTCACCTCCCTACCAAGACCAGTCAAAACACTAAAATAAGCATTACATGAGTGAGAATAAAGAAATGAACTACAGTACTAAATATTTATAAAATAAAAATAATTTTCAGATGTTTGAAAATATGTAAAAAGTGTGAAATCCTGTTAATGTTTCAGAAAGTGCCTTTTAACCTCAATCTCAAACAAAGAGTGTGCCTGGCCAAACAGTGGTCAGTGCTCCTTACCAAAGTCAACTCCTGTAGTGAAAAAGGCATCAACATGTCCATGAGTACTCCTATTACAGTTTGTTAAAATTGTATAAACGACAACATCATCTTTATTGTCATGACTGGTGAAAGTTCACTACTTTCCACTCTGTCCTGGTTTTTATTGATGTGTTGCAGTGACATTTTGATCCATTTAAACTTGTGTTTGTAACATTATTATCTACAGACAGACAGTAACCAACTAGACATATTCAAGCACAGGGTATAGTACTTCATATACACACTATCATGTCCCAGTTGAGTGATTTCTTTGCATAGACCCATGAGTTGAGGCATGTTATTTCACAAGTAATAACTCTATGGCCGACAGGCCCCTATAAGCATGGCGCTGGAGCCCTCTCCCCCAAGGTTGGAGGCTGAGTATCTTCCTACAGGAACTGGTCTCAAGATTTTATGAAAAGGTCAACAAGGTAGGATACAATGCACTAATACATATTCCAAAGTAATATTTGTATTAGCTAGGCCCACTTGTTGACCAACTAAGTGATCACAAAAAAATATACAGTATGTCAACCTATTCTAATACAGTATGTGTCTTTCTGCCATGTCTTCGGAAAGTATTCATCCCCTTTGACTTATTCCACATGTTGTTGTGTTACAGCCTGAATTCAAAATGGATTAAATATATGTGTTTCTCTCCCATCTACACACAATACCCCATAATGACAAAGTGAAAACATGTTTTTAGAAATGTTTGCACATTTATTGAAAATGAAATATTTCATTTACATAAGTATTCACACCCCTGAGTCAATACATGTCAGAATCACCTTTGGCAGCGATTACAGCTGTGAGTCTTTCTGAGTACGTTTCTAAGAGCTTTGCACACCTGGATTGTACAATATTTGCCCATTATTATTTTCAAAATTATTCAAGCTCTGTCAAATTGGTTGTTAACCTCTTAAGGATCTGACCCTTTTTTTTCAATTTTTCGCCTAAATTGACATACCCAAATCTAACTGCCTGTAGCTCAGGACCTGAAGCAAGGATATGCATATTCTTGATATCATTTGAAATGAAACACTTTGAAGGTTGTGTAAATGTGAAATGAATGTAGGAGAATATAACACATTAGATGGTTCCATCATCTTTGAAATGCAAGAGAAAGGCCACAATGTAATATTGCAGTTTAGGCGCAACTTAGATGTTGGCCACTAGATGGCAGCAGTGTGTCTGCAACGTTTCAGATTGATCCAGTGAAGCATTGCAATACTGGACTATTTTGTATCAAGTCTGCCCAAATGTGCCGAATTGGTCAATCCAATTTGTAAGTCGCTCTGGATAAGAGCGTCTGCTAAATGACGTAAATGTAAATGTAAATTGATACATTTTCAAGTACATAACTATAGAGAACATACATAAATGATATGGTAATACAAAATGTAAGTTTACACACTCCCAGGAATGTCATACATGATAGATAATTAGCTTATACACTAACTTTCACACATCTAGATGGCAGGGCGGGGTGGGTGTGGAGCCAGAGACAGCAGGGGTTCAAACTGTATAACCCAGTTCCTACATTTGAATATAAAAATGGATTTTATCAAACAAAACTATGCTACATTTGATCTCTGGGACCCTTAGGATGACAAATCAGAGCAAGATTGCTGAATGTAAGTACATTATTTACCTTCAGAGGTGAATGTATCAAACCAGTTGCGATGATACGTTTTTTGTTGTTGTGCACTCTCCTCAAACAATAGCATGGTATTTTCTCACTGTAATAGCTACTGTAAATTGTATAGATCAGTTAGATTAACAAGAATTTAAGCTTTCTGCCCATATAAGACATGTCTATGTCCTGGAAAGTTTGCTGTTACTTACAACGGTCATGCTAATCACATTAGCGCACGTTAGCTCAACCGTCCGCTTCATCTCCACTGATTGAAGTGGATTTAACAAGTGACATGAATAAGGGATCATAGCTTTCACCTGGATACACCTGGTCAATCTATGTCATGGAAAGAGCCGGTGTTCCTAATGTTTTGTACACTCAGTATACACTATATATACAAAAGTATGTGGACACCCCTTCAAATTAGTGGATTTGGCTATTTCAGCTACAGCCGTTGCTGACAGGTGTATAAAATCGAGCACACCGCCATACAATCTCCATTGACAAACATTGGCAGTAGAATGGCCTTACTGAAGAGCTCAGTGACTTTCAACGTGGCACCATCATAGGATGCCACCTTTCCAACAAGTCAGTTCGTAAAATTGTAAGTGATGTTATTGTGAAGTGGAAAAACATCTGTCCTCGGTTGCAACACTTACTACCGAGTTCCAAAACTGCCTCGGAAGCAACGTCAGCACAAGAACTGTTCGTCGGGAGCTTCATGAAATGGGTTTTCATGGCCGAGCAGCCGCACACAAGCCTAAGATCACCATGCGCAATGCCAAGCGTCGGCTGGAGTGGTGTAAAGCTCGCCACAATTAGACTAGAGCAAGTGGAAACGCATTCCCTGGAGTGATGAATCACGCTTCACCATCTGGCAGTCCAACGGACTAATCTGGGTTTGTCAGATGCCAGGAGAACGCTACCTGCCCAAATGCATAGTGACAACTGTAAAGTTTGGTGGAGGAGGAATAATGGTCTGGGGCTGTTTTTCATGGTTCGGGCCAGGCCCCTTAGTTCCAGTGAAGGGAAATCTTAACGGTACAGCATACAATGACATTCTAGATGATTCTGTGCTTCCAACTTTGTGGCAACAGTTTGGGGAAAGCCCTTTCCTGTTTCAGTATAACAATGCCCCCGTTCACAAAGCGAGGTCCATACAGAAATGGTTTGTCGAGATCAGTGTGGAAGAACTTGACTGGCCTCCACAGAGCCCTGACCTCAACTCCATCGAACACCTTTGGGATGAATTGGAACGTCAACTGCGAGCCAGGCCTAATTGCCCATCATCAGTGCTCGACCTCACTAATGCTCTTGTGGCTGAATGGAAGCAAGGCACCGCAGCAATGTTCCAACATCTAGTGGAATGCCTTCCCAGAAGAGTGGTCATGTAGTGTATTTTCCATGGAAACTAAGGGTTTGTATGGGACTACAAAATGTATCTATACTGGCAATGTTGGAGCAGACAACTTTCAGCTTTCAATCTTTCAACCAACAGTGTTTTTTTTAGATTGTGACCATTCTGTCCCAAACCGCTCAGTTTAGCCTTTTTATTATAAAACTGAATGCACCAGATTACATGGGTAATCTCTTTGGGTATATCGTGGTCCATCACTAAACTACTAGTTTACGAAAACTCATTCAATTCTCTCCTAGGTGACCTTACTGACTGACCACAGTAAGTCCTCAACATGGAGAAGCTGTTCCAGACGTGTCATCGTAGAGGAGCCCTGGCAGCCCTGCTGCTGCCTTAGGACAGGGACAGTGCCCTCTGTAGAGCAGCCTTGGTCAACATCACCAGGCAAGGACCTATTCTACACAGTCTTATCCACTTCTCACCATCTACAGAACAACTGACTTATTTGTCCCTGATCTATTCTGGGAACACATTTTTTGTCATTTAGCAGATGCTCTTATCCAGAGCGGCGTAAAGTAGTGAGTGCATACATTTTTCATAGTAGTCCACCGTGGGAGTTGAACCCACAGCTCTGGCATTGCAAGCGCCATGCTTTACCAACTGAGCCACATGAGATCAGCAGTGAAAAGACTGATTGCTTGATTTGTATTTCACTTGGCTCCAATTGCACCATTCAACATTTCTTTTGTGTCTCATATTTCAGACTGAAGTTACTGGAGATCAAAGCTGGTGTTGATGGTTTCATGGTGTATGACCTGGGCTTGATAGAGCTCATGCAGAAATGAAGTCCTTGATGTAGGACTTATTGAGCTGTTGTGCACAAGCAATACCTTTCAAGGTACTGTTGTCCTTCTCACTTGTCAGTCTCACACTATCACTCCCCAGTCGCTCTACCTATCTGTATCCTCCTCAGCTCTTCCAGCTGCATACTCAGGGTGACAACCGGATGCACCAGCTTAGAGATGACCTCACGGTTACCCCCGACGAGCTGCTTTGTATTCCAGCGGTTAGTTACTCAATAACATTGTGCTACTGTATATTTGTACTACAAAATGCTATACATCTCTCTGGAATACAATTCCACATCTCATGTACTGTACTGCTCTAAACTTTCTTCTAGGGTGGAGTGACCTTGTATGGCTTGAAGTATAACATCGCTGTAGGAATCCTGTTCATAGATGAATTTTTTTATTTAACTAGGCATGTCAGTTAAGAACAAATTCTTATTTACAATGACGGCCTACTTGTAAAGCACCCCCAGACAAACCCTCCCCTAACCCGGACGACGCTGTGCCAATGGTGAACCGCCCGATCACGGCCGGGTGTGATACAGCCCGGGTCAGTAGCGACATCTCTAGCACTGCGATGCAGTGCCTTAGACCGCTGCACCACTCGGGAGGCCAGATGCTAGATGCTTGGCTCACTGGTGAGAATTCAATGGTATGCATCATCGTGATGAACCATCATACTTAATGAAGGCTAAGTCCATTTGGAACAGATATGTGATTGAGTAATGCTTCATGGCTCTCCCCTAGGCAGAGGTCACTTCTTCTACAGGGGACAGGTGGAGGATTCATCCACTGCAGAGTCCATGGTCCATTTCATTAGAGATGTCTGTGTAGTGTTTTGTGTCCAGGTGTGGCAGTGATTCCGCCATCATACACGGCTCGAGGATGATGACCTGGAGTCTGGTGACAGAGCTGATCCACGAGGTCATGGGGCAGCTGAGGGGTGTCACACACCGTCAGGTAGGAGGAGTAGGACAAGAGCTTGAGGTTTCCAAAAAAACTCATTACTCCTTTAGCGTTCCACCATTTCAGAACTTTCTTCTGCCGTTCTCTCAACTATTCCCCCCCCCCCCCCCTCCAGGGAGGAACAGAGTTTGTTGACGGCTACAGCCATGTTCCTAGAGGTGGTCGGGAAGAGAGATTTCCCAGAGTTCCTCACCACCTACCTCAACCTGGACCACATCATCCTCAGCTCAAAAGGCAGGAGGGTGGGGCAGTAGGGGACCGTGCCCAGGCCGAAACTCTGAAGGCCCCGTCCAACCTAGCATGGTATTTACACCCCTCATAGTACGTACACCAACATGCATTTGAGTGTTCCTCTTGAAGATCACACAAATGTTGTCTTTCTTGGCAATTGGAATATTAACCACAATAAAATACAAATCAAACTTCTGCAGGAAAAATGCAATCAGGAAATATATTTGTATTTAACTTTAGTTTTGAGAACTCATTGGTGTTAGATTGGAGTGATCTGTGTGCAGAATTCAGTATGATTGAGAAAAAGGCTTTTTCAAAATAAAAATAAAGAGGGGATAACTTGGATTTAGCCTTTTTTCAACATTTGACCAACAAACAGAAATAAAACCCCAAAACAAACATTTGTTTTGCTTTATCAGGAAGTGGTTTTATGGGACTTTCACATGGGTTAAACTAGAAAAGGAAATACTGAGCTGAAAAGGAAATTAAAACCAATAAATCTACACGTCAGTCATGCAGCAGTCCAGGTGAGCTTTGAGGGGTCTCTGCATTCAGATCAGCCGTGTCCTGTCCCCTCCTGGAGGCCTCGCCGGGAACTCTACCGCTGCACACCCTTGTGGCCGAGCAGAGGACTTCTTGAGCTCAGTAGCTGATTAACCAAGTGCGTCGCTGCTACGCCTCCCCCGGGAAACAAGTGATGTCTCCTTTTAAAAGTTCTGCCTTTTATTTATTGGCACACGCCAGCCTACAAGTACAACCACAATCCTCCATCATCACCACCACCACTACAATTGATATCTTTCAACTTTTGCAAACTTTTTTATTCTTTGTCATTTTTAATATATAAATTACCTTTAAAAACATGAGAAGCAGATGCACATACAGGAGAAACACAGGCATGAAAACACAGGAGTAAAAACCTGACTTAACGGCATCCACCCTAAACACTTTCCACTCTTCTCATACCGTTTAATTTGTTTGTTAAAGAATAGAGTTGTCAACAGGGTTTAAAAAAAGTAAAATAGGCATTCGTTTTTCCTCCTCTTCACTCTCTTTTTCCTCTGCGGCTCTCAGTCCAGGTCAGTGCACTGCAGGGGGCATTCACAAACAAACAACCGTAGCTGGGGTGTTGTCTGACTGGCAGCATGTGCGCTCCTCTTCCTCTCTCGCTCCCCTCTCACATGTCGTTTGCCATGTCGTCGTGCTCGCCGGCTGACAGGTCTCCATTGGTGTTGATGGTGGTGGCGTTGTCCTCGTAGCCAGGGGGCATGAAAGCCAGGGTGTGGGGGTACAGCTTGTTACACGCAGCGCGGTACGCCTCTGCTGCCTTTTGCTGCCCGTCGCCCAGATTTCCCTCGCGCAGCGCCTCCAGCACCTCTGTGCAGATCTGACAGGAAAGACAAGATAGGGTGTCTGCTTAGACTTGGGTCACACCATATTCACAATTGTTCCATTATTCCTTGCCTTTGTTTTTCCAAATACTGTTTCTGGTTCAGGCATAGATGTGGTAAAGAGGGCAATGGAACTCGACCAAAACAATGGAAATGGCATGGAAACACTTGGGGTAAAGATGCTGTGGGGGAAAGATCCCGAATCTCCATTGCCCCCTCAGCAAAATTACCCTACATTTAGGCTACTGTTTAAATGTGTATCTCACACTATGTTGAGGTAAAAATCTGAGTAAAATGCTTATATGGATGTCAACTGCAATACATGTTCATGTCATCGTAACCAATCGACTGCATTACAGTTAAAAACAACAACTGACTACCACCACTGATTTCTGTATGCTAGCTATGCTACCATCTTATACGTACAGGAGTTAGCATTTAGCAGTAACTTCTTGTAAACCTGAAAAGGGACAACTTATGATATGCAGCGAAAACAGCCAAATCGGACTTCAGTAACCACATTGTGGGCCTGTCAGTCATGACAGATTTGACGAATATCCACTTTGTTAGATCAGATTTGTTGAATGTGCACCAATCCAGCGTCCTTCTATCCCCCGGTCTGCGTTCCATTGACCTCTTTACCGCATCTATGGGACTACTGTGCCAAAAGTACTTGTTAAATTTCAATATAAACATGTTGTAGAAGGATGATAAAAGTTCAGTGAGTAAGTGCTCACCGTGATGCTTCTCCCAGTGAGGGACTCATCCAGCGCCGTAGCCAGCTCAGAGGCCATCTTGTCCGAGGACGGGTCCAGATAAAACATCATCTTAGCAGCTGCAGGGGGACAACATGGTACTGATCAGTCAAGTTCACACTGTGTGTGTGTGGTAATAGTAAAGTCTCATGTGGGCATAGTTGGAGTGTTGGCTCAGGTAGTGTGTGTGTGTGCACGCGTACCAGCCACACGATGTGGTATAGAGTTGGAGTGTTGGCTCAGGTAGTTCTTGTTGAAGCTCTGTGGGTTGCTCTCCCCAAACAGCCGCGATATCTCCTGCTTCAAAACAGTCCTCACAGCCTCCGGTAGGTCCTTACTGTCTGACACTGAGGAAGGAACACACCCATTACAACAGTGGTCACCAACCTTGAGTCAAGATCACTTTCGCAGTCAAAAAACAAGCTGAGATCTACCGCTCAGATTGTTATTTATTTATACATGACTTTATTTTATTTTTTACATCAACCTAATAAAAACAGTTATGTAAGAATTAGGTATGTGCAGTAGGCCTAATACATTATAACAGCATATTGGCTATATGCCTGCCCTATGGTTGTTCCCAGACCAGATTATATTTCAAAACAAGCTTTGATTAGAAAATAGATCTATTGGTGTAGCACTTGCAAGGCACAGCTGAGCATAAATTGAAATAATTACCAAATAATTTGCTTTCAAGACAACAGGGAACGCCAATGATCTTCAGGTCGGAAAGTCGGAGGTCTAGAAAGATGCCAGAGTTTCCGACTTGGAATTCCGAGTTGGATGACCGTTCAAAACTATTTTTCCCCAGTTGGATCGTTTTCCCCCCTGAGTTCCCAGTTGTCTTGAACACACTGAAGTCAGAGATTTCAGATATCACAGTTGTTTTGAACACAGTCTCAGCAGATAGAGGGAAAGAGCAGCAGAGGGTACGCCTCTCACTGTCCCTGCTCTCTCCTTCCTTTCCTCCGGTGAGACTGACCAGAGAGAGGGGACACAGTCTTCCACTTGATGGCGAAACTCGAGTCACACCACATCTGCCTAATGCACAAATTCATGTTGTTCCTATGACCAGAGAAAGTGAAATATTCCTTGATATTAAAAATAAAAATATGCCATTTAGCAGACGCTTTTATCCAAAGCGACTTACAGTCATGCGTGCATACATTTTTGTGTATGGGGCGGCAGGTAGCTTAGTGGTTAAGAGCGTTGTGCCAGTAACCGAAAGGTCGCTGGTTCTAATCCCCAAGCCGACTAGGTGAAAAATATGTCGATGTGCCCTTGAGCAAGGCACTTAACCCTAATTGCTCCTGTAAGTCGCTCTGGATAAGAGCGTCTGCTAAATGACTAAAATGTAAATGTAATGTAAATGTCCCGGGGATCGAACCCACTACCTTGGCGTTACAAGCGCCGTGCTCTACCAGCTGAGCTACAGAGGACCACGTATAATAATAATAATAATAATAATAATAATAATAATAATAACAACGCAGGGCTATCGATACACTTGGCTACTCATTCATTGCAGCGCGAGTGAAAGCAGGGAGAAGCACGTTTTGTTTTGTAACAGTACTGAATAAAAACAATGCTGGATAAAAAAAGTCAACATGAACTCACTCAAAAACAGCAGCTCTTCGCTGTATTCTTTGACAGTCTCTGTGGCCATGGTTTTAAAAGTTATTAAATCTTATGTAGACTAGTATCAAACTTTGTTATGGCCGCAGTTGTGGAAGCTCTGTAGGCATAGTGATTTGAGCTATCCGATTGGCCAGCGCAGTAGGCGCACTCGATTTAGCCACATATCTTCCAGTCCGCCGGGTAGGCGGAGTTTGTATTTTCAGACAAATAAAATGGTTCAAAATAGGAACCCTTTGCTTACCAGGTGTGCAGGGCTTCTGAATCAAGAGCACCTACTGCCAACAGCGCAACACAAATAATGCCTCGATCACACCGACAGCGTTGTTGCGCAAAATGCTATGCAGCATAATCTGGATATGTGTGCAACAAAAGTTCAACATTCACATTGTGCTACCATTTCTGTCAAGCCATGTACACATAGTTTGAGGCATACGTTCAATAAAGCCAACGTATGCACCACACAGAACGCACTGCAACTACCTCTGCAAGCAATGCTGCAAGGCAAACGCAGCGTTCCATTGGAAATTAAGGTACTTCTGGTGTACCAAAATGCAACGACGCTGTCGGTGTGATCAAGGAGTAAAAAAATTATAAAGGAGCGCAAGCCTTCATCACAACCTTTATCGTTGGCTTTTCTACAGAAATGTTTGGTGATCGATTAGGAATGCCTCGCGATCGACCGGTTGGTGACCACTGCATTACAGCATAGAATCAGAACTTGGTAGAGATCTTTGTAGCAAAACACAGACAACTATCCCAGTAACAATTCAACAAGAGGGTTCAGAGACAGTATGAGTTGTAGGTAATGACAAGGCCCCCCAGCCTGGCTGTGTGACAGCCCTACTCTACTGTACCTCCTTTGAAGAAGCGCACTAGACACTGGTGCAGCCAGGGGTGGGAGGGCTCCATGGAGAACGCTCTCTTTACCGACTGCAACATCAGCAGGTACTTCTCTACGAGAGGGAAATAAAGTTGTTTTCATTGACAAAAGGTACCGGATTCTTCTCGTGTCAGAACGTCAATCAGCATCTTGTTCCTTTACCTTTCCTGAAGTAGATCTCGAAGGCCAGGAGGTGGGTCTCAATCTTGTTCTTCACCAGGTTTTTCAGGGGGGTTAAAAACTTCACGGCCTCCTCTAGTGGGTTCTCCACCTACAAGAAAACATCATGGGTCTTTTTCCAAAAAACTGTTCAGTCTCCTAATTGGTGTAATTTCACCATGTTCTGCAGTGATATCCCACAGGGCTAATCGCAGTAGCCATGAGGGTAAAGCGAAACCACAGGTTTGTTCTTTGAGGCATTTCCAACGACTAGGGCTCACTGTGAGGAGTCTGTCGGGATAGGCCTCAGTCATTCCTTCATCTTCTACAGGCTACACACAAACCTTGGCTAGCTTATCTGGTATGAGCTCCTCCTTGGGTCCTCCAATCTCCTCGTCATCATCCTCTTTCTTCTTCTTCTGGTTCTTCAGCTGTTTCTCCTTCTCTGCGTTCTTCTTCTCCTCCTCTAGTTGGGCTTTCTTCTGGGCTCGTCTCTGCTTGTTCCTCAGCTTCTTCAGCTCTTTGTCATTCAGGTTCTCTGTGGGACAAACGGGTCACTCAGTCACTGGGATCATTTACCAATCAAGACACTACACCAAATCAAAAACCATTGTAGAAAACATCAAATGAGTGATATCAAACAAGCATCAGTTTGGGGTCTCGCAGACAGACTCCCTCTCTCAAACACACACGTACCGGCGTCGGCCTGGTGTTCCTTGTTGTCGTCGGTGAGTGGGTTGTCGTGCAGGCCGAGGTAGATCTGGATGGCGGTGCGGGCAGCTTTGTAGTAGAAGGGGTGCATGCGCAGCACATCCTCCAGCTTGAGCAGGTCCACGTAGGATCGCAGCGTCATCTTCCTCATGCAGTACGTGTGGAAGTCAAACTGGTCGTCCGTGATCTCCACAAAATGCTGATGGGACACAGAACAGAGATGGTTATGATGAAATCCAACCACTGTGAGAGCAGACCTGCACTACCACTGGGCCATCTATACAGGTTTAACCGTAATCTGTGAATCTGCATGACCATCTCTAAATACAGGGACCACATTGACTTCTCATTTGAGCACATTTTGAGGGGGAGGGAAATCTAACTTACTAATCACCTTCATCATTAAAATAAGTGCCTTCTTTCCCCTCTCTTAGGTTAGAAAACGTACCCTCTCGATCTCATGGCACTTCTTGAGTGCGTCTCCAAACTTGTTCATGGACTTGTAGGCCAGAGCACATTCTGTCTGGTACCACATACACTGCATCTCATTGAGATTCTCTACTGCCGACGCACCCTCCTGAAACACAAAGATAGTCAGCAACACACACACAGAGGCAGACACAAAGGGTTTTAAGGCAACACACACGTACAGTCCACACAGACAGCTTAACACACACACACACACACTGACCCGTGTGAACTTGGAGCACATCTCCTCAGCATCTTTGACTAGACCGGCCTTCAACATGTACTTGGCACATTTTGAGTTGATGAAGCGGTCAGCAGTGTCCAGAGCCTGGGCCTCGTCCATCCACCTGGCCGCTTCCTTTATGTTACCTGCATGCTACAGAGACACAAAGATAGAGAGAGTAATAGTCCAAATCAACAGACACCTTAGCAGAGAAGAAGAGTGATATAATCACGTTGAGTCACACTGTAAATGTTCACTATGATGGCAGCTCTAGAAAGTGTGTGTCTGTTACCTTGTATATCTTAGCCTTGATGAGGAACAGTTCTATGAGCGTGGGTGTGCTCTCGATGGCTGTGTTGATGTAGTCCAGGGCTAGCGTCTGCTGGCCCACATGGTCAAAGTGTTGTGCCAGAAAATACTGGACCCACAGCAGAGTTGTGGGGGGCTCCTCCTTACCGCCATCTACACACACACACAATAATACTTATACACGTAATGAGATTCTAATACTATTCCTATTAGATCTCATAACACATGAAAATCTGATGGCACTCACCATTTTGATTGAACATTCGACAGCTTTTCAAACACGTCTCGTATCCAACCACTAATTCTTCAATGATTGACACCTACAGAGGGGAACAAAGAAACACAGGATTACCCTGACATCTCAGTCCAGGGCAGGCATGTTATTTCAGTGACTTGCTGGAGCCTAAGGAATGGCAGTGGTTCTCCCTCACCTTTTCCTTGTCGTGATACAGGGACTTCAGAGTGGTGAAGACAGGCGGACAGCCTTTACTGAAGTTCATCCTCAGATAGCAGTCCAGACATTCACGGAACTTCTCACCTGAAAAGAAAAGTGAATGGCGCTCATCAACCCCCCATCCTCTAGCGTTCCACAAACCACGTTTCCTCATGCTTGCGTCTATCCGCCGTTGTCTTAAGGAGGTCATCATTCCATGGATAATTACACAGCAATGATAATGGCAGGCTTATGTACCTGTGAGGAAGGTGAGAGGCAGCCTCCGGGGAACCAGTCCTTTGGGATACTTTACCCACGCCTCCTCATAGAGCTTCTGCCTCTCCTCTATGCTAGCTGGGGACACACAAGCCAACAGTCAGAGCATGGCATTCATACACAGATTCAAATCTGGTCAGAAAATCTACAAAACACATAAGCCAATGTAGTGAGAGGACTCATGCTACAGAGGGGACTGGTGAGAGGGTCCAGTGGGAATAGGATGGGTAGCAGTGGGGGTTCAAAGGTTACCTGGTTTCAGTGCTTTCTCCAGACCCTGGTAGTAGGCCCAGTTCTCAGGGTTCCTCTCCTGGAGTTGTCGGTAGACTTTTGTGGCCTCCTCCGAGCGATCTAGCTGCAGCAGCAGTTCTCCTGCAGGGACAGATAGGATCACATGATTCATGTTAGATCTATACACATCTCTCCACCACACACTGACGCAAACACTCAACATATGCATATTTTCACTCTCTCCCTTCCTCGCTCACAGACACACCTCTAGTCTCCTCCACAGCAAGCTTGTCACAGATCTGTTTCTCATAGGTTGTGAGGTGCTCCAGTGCTTCCTTGAACAGCCCCGCCTCCCTGAGCACCTGGTTCTGGTACAGCAGCAGTTCACTGTACTCGTAGTCCACTTTGTCTGGCGATGTCTGAAACAACACAGCACCTCCAATCACATTTACTGACACAGGCAGTCACCAATCAGATTTGCTGACACAGATAGGGAGACCAATGAGATTCACTAACACAAAGCCAACAAATAAATTACTGACAGACAAATTATTAAATCAGGTGTACTGATCCAGGCAGGGTGACCAATCAGAATAATTGACAGACCGGTGATACAGGAACACGACAGAGTAATCAATGAGACTTCTTAGACTCAAAAACAGAGGTCAGAGAGAGGTCAAGCCAAGCTCACCTGTTGTGTTTTGCGGAACTCTTCGACGATCTTGGCGGCCATCTCAAAGTCCTCCAGCAGGTGGTAGGCCACGGCGTAGCCGATCCATGAGGCCCTCTGAGCTGGACGCAGCTGCAGGAGCTGATAGCGGGTCTCCTGCAGAGAGAGAGCGAGAAAGAGCGAGACAGAAAAGACAAAGAAAGAAGGATAATTATACACAAAGCAAAAGAGAATACTTGAGAGGAGACAGACTCTCGCCCCCTCTCCAGGTCCTCACCCTGTAGCCCTCCAGGTCTCTCATCTGGATTTGGAGCAGTGAAAGGTCCCTGAGGATCTGCAGGTTGTCCTTGTCCCACTTCAGAGCGTTGCGGTAGCACTTGATGGCCTCGTCGTACTTCTTATCCGACCGCTGCAGCAGACCGTACACATGCCAGCCTGGGAGAGGAAAGGTTAAGGAGGCAAAACAGACATACCCTCAGAGAAACAAAATCCCTTGCAAAAAAAAAAAAAAACTTTTGGAGGAGGACTGAAAGTGCATGGGAACAGAGAAACGTAATACTCATGGTGACAAATCAAAACAGTGGACCCTGTATTAATGCAACCAGGCCTATACTATTAGCCTTAACAGTAACAATCAGAGCCAATCTAGCTCTCTCCCATTCCCTGTCTAGATTATGTGGGGAAGACATGGCGCAGTAAGGGCTTGTGGGATGGAGTAGAAAGTTTGGTCTTATTATGATGTGGAGCCTTTGGTGAATGTCCTCGCGCCTCTGAATAGGAGCTTCATATGAATCCTCACCTCATTAGCCCTAGTATAGAAGGATACAGACATGGCTCTTGAGGTCGTTGCGCAGGCCTCGTCTCACCAGCTCGTACGCATCCTCCTTCTTCCCCAGGCAGTTCAGGGTCAGGCCCTTCATCGCCAGTGTCTCTGAGGGACAGATGAGAGAGCGAGGAATTAGTGTCAGTTACAGCCAAAACACTACACCAAAAGAGGATGTACCATCACTCATGTTCTAAACAGAGTAAAGGATAAGAAAATGTCCATGGTCATCCAGTTCTGATATCAAACCTGGACCAGATGGTTGTTGAGTCATTTCGTTCTTTCCGACTACTGAAAGACAAGTGAGAGTAGTAGCTGTTGAAGCAGGCCTCACCTCCATGCTCGGTGAACTTTGGGTTGGAGAGGATCTGTTTGCAGAACTTGAGTCCATTTCTGTACTGCTTGTGCTCGTAGCATCTCTGCAACAGGGGAGAGGTGTGTTGTCATCAAGGTTTTTGTAAAGCCTGTTCTTAGAGTTCTGATCTGAGGAATCCCCCAAATATATGGTTACAAAAATGTGTGCAAATATTCTAGAGGGGGTGACTGTCTATGTAGGGTTGCGCATGAACACTTTCAGGTAGATTGTCTGGTGATAATATCCAGCCAGGTTGTCTGGTGATAATATCCAGCCAGGTAGCAAGCACAGTAGCACACCACAACCCCAATACAGTAAGAAGTATGAAAAATCAGCTAGCCTTCCTTGCGTGAATGTGTGGTCTGATGGGTGTTGATATGCAATGATTAGAGAACCAGTCAGACATAGATTCCTATCTGCCTGGGTCAGCACAGTGTGGCCTAGCACTCTGATCAGCCTGCCAGCTCCCCACACAATGCTAATGCCCGGGAATCCCCACTGGCATAGGGAGAAGGCAGGGTGTTCAACACAGCAACTAAAACAAACGTTCTCAGAATGTTAAACAGAAAGTTAGTGGCTCTGAGTGGGAACAGAATTCACATCTATGCAAAACATTACACTTGTGGTAAGCATTTTCAACAGGGAAACTAGTCCCACCCACCACCACCTTAAGAGCTTTCCTCAAACAGCAGTGGCTATTCTCATGTGCAGCGTAAAATTATGCAAGGATCTAGCCGACTAAACGTAACTATTTACAATGGAGTAGCGGCGACTAGTGTGGGCGGACTCGAGCTCCGACTTCACATAAATTGAAGTTTTTGTCAAAATCGACTGGTTTCAGCACCCAAAGAATTGCCCACAATTACCCAGAACAATGTTGTGTGTATTGCGGGCTATTCTTGGAGTGCAGAAATCAGTCGTTTTTAACAAAAACTTCATTTTATGTGAAGTCGGAGCTCGAGTCCGCCCACACTAGTCACCGCTCAACTCCATAAATCGCGGGTTGAGTTTAATCGTCTAGTAAGGATCATATGGTAAAGAGACGTTTGCTTTGCATCAGAGTAGTCTTTTTTTCAAACCCTGAAGAAATACCTTCAGTAGGTCTATATACAAAATTAGTGGATTGGCTATATCAGCCAAAAATCAAGCACACCGCCATGCAATCTCCATAGACAAACATTGGTCTTACTGAAGAGCTCAGTGACTTTCAACGTGGCACCATCATAGGATGCCACTTCAACAAGTCAGTTTGTCAAATGTCCGCCCTGCTAGAGCTGCCCTGGTCAACTGTAAGTACTGTTATTGTGAAGAGCAACAACGGCTCAGCCGCAAAGTGGTAGGCCACACAAACTCACAGAACGGGACCGCCGAGTGCTGAAGCGTGTAAAAATAGTCTGTCCTCCATTGCAACACTCACTACAGAGTTCCAAACTGCCTCTGGAAGCAACGTCAGCACAAGAACTGTTCGTCGGGAGCTTCATGAAACGGGTTTCCATGGCCGAGCAGCCGCACACAAGCCTAAGATCACCATGTGCAATGCCAAGCGTCAGCTGGAGTGGTGTAAAGCTCGCCGCCATTGGACTCTGGAGCAGTGGAATCGTGTTCTCTAGAGTGAATAATCACACTTCACCATCTGGCAGTCCGGTGGATGAATCTGGGTTTGGCGGATGGCAGGAGAACGCTACCTGCCCCAATGCATAGTGCCAACTGTAAAGTTTGGTGGAGGAGGAATAATGGCCTGGGGCTGTTTTTCATGGTTCAGGCTAGGCCCCTTAGTTCCAGTGAAGGGAAATCTTAACACTACAGCATACAATTACTTTATTTTACCCCCTTTTTGTCCCCAATTTCGTGATATCCAATAACAATATTCTCTCATCGCTGCAACTCCCCAACGGGCTCGGGAGAGGCGAAGGTCGAGTCATGCGTCCTCCGAAACATGACCCACCAAACCGCGATTCTTAACACCCACTCTCTTAACCCAGACACCAATGTGTCAGAGGAAACACTGTTCAACTGACTACTGATGTCAGCCTGCAGGCGCCCGGCCCGCCACAAGGAGTCGCTAGAGCGCGGTGAGCAAAGTAAAGCCCCCCCGGCCAAACCCTCCCCTAAACCGGACAACGCTGGGCCAATTGTGCGCTGCCCTATGGGACTCCCTGTCCCAGCCTGGGATCGAACCCGGGTCTGTAGTGACGCCTCAAGCACTGCGATGCAGTGCCTTAGACCGCTGCGCCACTCGGGAGGCATACAATGACAATCTAGACAATTCTGTGCTTCCAACTTCGTGGCAACAGTTTGGGGAAGGCCCTTTCCTGTTTCAGCATGACAATGCCCCCGTAAACAAAGCGAGGTCCATACAGAAATGGTTTCTTGAGATCAGTGTGGATGATTTTGACTGGCCTGCACAGAGCCCTGACCTCAACCCCATCGAACACCTTTGGGATGAATTGGAACGCCAACTGCGAGCCAGGCCTAATCGCCCAAAATCAGTGCCCTACCTCACTAATGCTCGTGGCTGAATGGAAGCATGTCCCCGCAGCAATGTTCCAACATCTAGTGGAAAGCCTTCACAGAAGAGTGGAGGCTGTTATAGCAGCAAAGGGGGGACCAACTCCATATTAAATGCCCATGATTTTGGAATGAGATGTTTGACGAGCAGGTGTCCACATACCTTTGGTCACGTAGTGTACTTTGCTATTTGCTAAAAAAAAAATATTTGTTTGCAACCATCAGGTTGTGGTTCAAACTGTAGGCGTGGCTTACTTGAATTTGCAGGCCTTGAGAGATGGCCAGCTAATTACACTACCTAACTGGATAATAATAACTCCAACATAACTGTTCAACACCATGCCCAGAAACAGGACAAACGTGTGAATGGTACTCAATATTTAGCAAAGAAAGTCGACTAAACGTGTGCAGTTCGTTGGCATGAGGACGCAAACTGTATAATTAGTCCCCATCTGGTCTGTGTTTCAGCAAAGCGTGAGTGACAGCTAGTTGGCTAGCTAGGTTTTGTTAGCTAGCTAGCTCTAGTAGCTATACAATCAGTAGCAAATGATTGCATTAGCTAACACACCCAAGTTTGAAGTAATATATTTGGGGACATCATGCAAATACGTTGTGCATGTGAAATGTAACGCTTACATGGTTACAGATAATATTGTTGCTAAAATGCTGAGTAATGATTAAACACCTGTGCGGTTGGATGTAGAATGAGTTTGCAGCTAGCTAGCTAGTTCGCGTACATAGCTAACTTCTCTAGCCGTAGCTAGTTAGCAAGCTAGCTAACTATTTGCCAACCGTGTTTTGGAGTCATGCATTTATTGTAAACCACCACCCTACAACAAACTGGGACTAAAGATAACAAGCCAGAGTTAGCTAACTACAAGCCATGTTGCATGTTACCTGCCGGTTGCAAACAAACCGCTAACTAGCAGGCTAATGACAATCTGGCAGGCCATTTCGAGTGCCTCGCAACATGTTAGCCCACGAGTTAGCTAAAGTTAACATTCGTTGGCGATGGAAGGAACTATACATGTCAGCTAACAAGACGACATGATTGCATGCTGTTTTATTACAAGCTACTCGAATCAAACCTATATTGCTACTTGAAATTGATTTAGCAAGTTAGCTAGCGGCAGCTAGGCACTTAACGTTACCAATATTCTCTTGAAGAGAGCATTCTCCTTCGGCGGTAGAGTAATTGAGGGCATTCTGTAAACTGGCTACTCTTCTGTAGCTTCAAGCATGAATCGACGTTGTCTCTCTCTCCCCTCTCCGTCTTTTTGAGGCAAAGTTCCCGGAGTTGTCTCGCTCTATTTCGGGCTCTTCTTACTCACGTGGTGACAGCCAAGGCCCCCTTTAGACCAAAATGGCCGAATACCTTCTCCCCCGGGTCAAGCTGCTCCCCGCGTCTGCGTGCGTGCTGTACTGTGCAAAATGATCTTACTAAAAGTTGCAAATGTAACCAATCAAAGAAAGTTATGGAAGGGGACGTGTTATAAAGTATAGTGCATCGCTTCGGCAATAGACGTGATGTAAAATGGATTATTTACTGATTGCACTGCACTGCTCTTGTAGCCCTTCTCTTAACTCCAGCCTTGGATTCTGGAAAGGTACCTACATATATACAGTCAGTCATTGAGAGGTACATTGCATTTAGCCAAAAATAACCCTCTCCTTAACTTCTCTCTCTTGAGTCGGAACTGTGCTATGCCGGAATGTGGTCAGCCAGAGCCCAGCGCGATATATGGCTGGGAAAATGTACCGCAATCCAGGGATGGAATACATCGTTGTTCTCATAATCATCCCGAAATGATGAAAGGTGAATGTAGAAGATTTAAATACTACTGTTTATTTATTTATTAAACTGCCGATTTCGCCAGCATGTTAGCATAGCAGCGGGAAGTAGGGGTGCTGCACCCCCTGAAAAATCGGAATATAATATATATATATATATATATATATAATTTTGTGAAAACAAATATTTTCCAAAAAGAAGTGCATTAGGCCTTTACTAGTATTAGCGACCAATATAGATGTATTGGGGTCAAAAAACAAATCTGCATCTCTGCTTTGTCTAAAAGGGTAGTTGTATAATTAAGAACAGTATCTTGCAGGATTTAATAGTTGAAATTGTAAGAGTTGTTGCCCTGTCCCTTTCTCTGCGATTGTCATTCTAATGGAATCCAGAAAGAACAAAACCCTGTCCTTAAACATTTACATCAAAAGGTGCAAAGTTATGAGCAAAAAACATCCACAAAACATCCACATCAAATTAAATATTTTTCTGGATCAAATAACGTGGAAAACAACCACTTTTTGTGCAGTAGTAATTAGTACATTACTGTATTGTACACTACATGACCAAAAGTATATGGACACCTGCTCGTCGAAACATCTCATTCCAAAATCATGGGCATTAATAAGGAGTTGGTCCCCCCTTTGCTGCTATAAAAAGCCTCTCTTCTGGGAAGGCTTTCTACTAGATGTTGGAACATTGCTGCGGGGACTTGCTTCCATTCAGTCACAAGAGCATTAGTGAGGTCGGGCACTGATGTTGGGCGATTAGGCCTGGCTTGCAGTCGGCATTCCAATTCATCCCAAAGGTGTTCGATGGGGTTGAAGTTAGGGCTCTGTGCAGGCCAATCAAGTTCTTCCACACCGATCTCGACAAACCATTTCTGTATGGACCTCGCGTTGTGCACAGGGGCATTGTCATGCTGAAACAGGAAAGGGCCTTCCCCAAACTGTTGCCTCAAAGTTGGACGCACATAATCGTCTAGAATGTCATTGTATGCTGTAGCGTTAAGATTTCCCTCCACTGGAACTGGGCCTAGCCCGAACCATGAAAAACAGTGCCAGACCATTATTCCTCCTCCACCAAACTTCACTATGCATTGGGGCAGGTAGTGTTCTCCTGGCATCCCCCAAACCCAGATTCATCCGTCGGACTGCCAGATGGTGAAGCGTGATACATCACTCCAGAGCTTGCGTTTCCACTGCTCCAGAGTCCAATGGCGGCGAGCTTTACACCACTCCAGCTGATGCTTGGCATTGTGCATGGTGATCTTAGGCTTGTGTGCGGCTGCTCGGCCATGGAAACCCATTTTATGAAGCTCCCAACGAACAGTTATTGTGCTGACATGGCTTCCAGAGGCAGTTTGGAACTCCGTAGTGTGTTGCAACCGAGAACAGACGATATTTACGAGCTTCAGCACTCGGCGGTCCCGTTCTGTGAGCTTGTGTGGCCTACCACTTCGTGGCTGAGCCATTGTTGTTCCTAGACCTTTCCACTTCACAATAACAGCACTTACAGTTGACCGGGGCAGCTCTAGCAGGGCAGAAATTTGATGAACTGACTTGTTGGAAAGGTGGCATCCTATGACTGTGTCACGTTGAAAGTCACTGAGCTCTTCAGTAAGGCCATTCTACTGCCAATGTTTGTCTATGGAGATTACATGGCTGTGTGCTCGATTTTATACATCTGTCAGCAACAGGTGTTGCTGAAATAGCCAAATCCACTACACCGAACAAAAAGATAAACGCAACATGCAATAATTTGAAAGTTAGTGTCCACATCTCCTTCGCAGAGTAGATCAGGTAGATCCGGCTGTTTATTGTTGCCTGTGGAATGTTGTCCCACTCCTCTTCAATGGCTGTGCGAAGTTGCTGGATATTGGCGGGAACTGGAACACACTGTCGTACACGTCGATCCAGAGCATCCCAAACATGTTCAATAAGTGACATGTCTGGTGCGTATGCAGGCCATGGAAGAACTGGGACATTTTCAGCTTCCAGGAATTGTGTACAGATCCTTGCGACATGGGGCTGTGCATCATCATGCTGAAACCAGAGATGATGGTGGCAGAGCATTGGCACGATAATGGGCCTTAGGATCTCATCACGGCATCTCTGTGCATTCAAATTGCCATAGATAAAATTAAATTTTGTTTGTTGTCTGTAGCTTATGCCTGCCCATACCATAACCCTAACGCTACCATGGGGCACTCTGTTCACAACATTGACATCAGCAAACCGCTCGCCCACATGACGCAATACACGTGGTCTGTTGTGAGGCCGGTTGGACGTACTACCTAATTCTCTAAAACGACGTTGGAGGCAGCTTATGGTAGAGAAATGAACATTCAATGCTCTGGCAACTGCTCTGGTGGACATTCCTGCAGTCAGCATGCCAATTGCACGCTCCCTTAAAACATGAGACATCTGTGGCATTGTGTTGTGTGACAAAACTACACATTTTAGAATGGCCTTTTATTGTCCCCAGCACAAGGTGCACCTGTGTAATGATCATGCTGTTTAATCAGCTTCTTGATATGCCAGACCTGTCAGGTGGAAGGATTATCTTGGCAAAGGAGAAATGCTCACTAACAGGGATGTAAACAAATTTGTGCACAACATTTGAGAGAAATAAGCTTTGTGTGTGTATGGAACATTTCTGGGATGTTTTATTTCATCTCATGAAACATGGAACCAACACTTTACATGTTGTGTTTATATTTCTGTTCAGTATAATTTGAAGGGGAGTCCATATATATAATGTACATAGGCTGGTCATCTAGGTTTGCACCGGTATACTTTCCATCACCATGAAGAAAAACAATGCACAATACTGTAATTGATTACATTGAGATATCAAGTGGTTTATGATTATGTAGCTCAGTTGGTAGAGCATGGTGCTTGCAATGCTAGGGTTGTCGGTTAGATTCTCACGGGGGACCAGACCAGTATGAAAATGTATTCACTCACTACTGTAAGTTACTCTGGATAAGAGCGTCTACTAAAATGGAAAAGGAATGAATAGTCCATTTCGGTTTTCACACATAAGTTAGTTGCATTTGCAAAGTATTTCAAGAAACTGGAAAACATATATCAATCAAGTATTTGTATATTCCATAAGTATTATAAGATGAACTGTTTCCCCTTTACATCTGTAAGAACGTTTCATGACCCCTTGACCAATTACATTAATTCAAAATAGCTTGACATCAAAACTCTTAAATCCATTGGCTCTCAAAGTTGTCCGTTGCTCCATGCAACGCAATTTAGGTCAAAATCTGTTTCTTGCTTTGCTCTTAGGAACACGACACAATTGAGAGGAGTATTTCTGGGGTAGCGTTAAGTGTGGAGGTGGAGCAATTGAAATGGAAGATTCCTGGTGTTTGTGACGCCTGCCGTTTTGTGCGACGCAGACACGGCGGTGAGCGTGGTGAAACAAAGGAGTCATTGTCAGTCCTTTTGAGTTTTGAGTCAGTCTTTACCCAACAAGTTAATGTTAGGATATATAAGTTATCCTGTTAGAGCGTTTGTGGCGAATCCACTGCGCTGTTTCAGGTGCAACGTTTATTGTCATGTCGCAGCAGTGTGTAGGAGGAGATTCCAAGATGTGGGAAGAGTGCAGGAGGGCATGGGATTGAGGATTGTGTAGTTTCGGTGGATAACGTTGTGTGTCAACTGTAGGGTTGCACATGTTGCTGGGGATCGGAGGTGTCCGGTGAAAGAGGGGCAGGTTGAGGTGGCTAGAGTCAGAGTAGTGCAGAAGGTGTCATATGCTGAGGCAGTGAAGAAAGTACAGTCGTGGTTAAAAGTTTTGAGAATGACACAAATACTAATTTTCACAAAGCCTGCTGCCTCAGTTTTGATGATGGCAATTTGCATATACTCCAGAATGTCACGAAGAGTGATCAGATGAATTGCAATTAATTGCAAAGTCCCTCTTTGCCATGAAAATGAACTTAATCCACAAAAAACATTCCCACTGCATTTCAGCCCTGCCACAAAAGGACCAGCTCCCATCATGTCAGTGATTCTCTCGTTAACACAGGTGAGAGTGTTGACGAGGACAAGGCTGGAGATCACTCTGGCATGCTGATTGAGTTAGAATAACAGACTGGAAGCTTTAAAAGGAGGGTGGTGCTTGAAATCATTGTTCTTCCTCTGTTAACCATGGTTACCTGCAAGGAAACACATGCCGTCATCATTGCTTTGCACAAAAAGGGCTTCACAGGCAAGGATATTGCTGCTAGTAAGATTGCACCTAAATCAACCATTTATCGGATCATCAATAACTTCAAGGAGAGAGGTTCAATTGTTGTGAAGAAGGCTTCAGGGCGCCCAAGAAAGTCCAACAAGCGCCAGGACCGTCTCCTAAAGTTGATTCAGCTGCGGGATCGGGGCACCACCAGTGCAGCGCTTGCTCAGGAATGGCAGCAGGCAGGTGCGAGTGCATCTGCACGCACAGTGAGGTGAAGACTTTTGGAGGATGGCCTGGTGTCAAGAAGGGCAGCAAAGAAGCACTTCTCTCCTGGTAAAACATCAGGGACAGACTGATATTCTGCAAAAGGTACAGGGATTGGACTGCTGAGGACTGGGGTAAAGTCATTTTCTCTGATGAATCCCCTTTCCGATTGTTTGGGGCATCAGGAAAACACCTTGTCCGGAGAAGACAAGGTGAGCGCTACCATCAGTCCTGTGTCATGCCAACAGTAAAGCATCCTGAGACCATTCATGTGTGGGGTTGCTTCTCAGCCAAGGGAGTGGGCTCACTCACAATTTTGCCTAAGAACACAGCCATGAATAAAGAATGGTACCAACACATCCTCTGAGAGCAACTTCTCCCAACCAT